ATTTTCATGTGGTACACTTTTGAGCTAATCTAGACTAGTTGGGGGGCGTGGCATTTTGGGCGTGGAATACCACACCCACCACCAGAAATCCGGCAGACTTACATTTTGATGATACCAGATATACATACATTGATACCATATAGAAAAAAAATTAGTACACTTTTCAGCTGGGTTACCCCTCTGGGCTCCCGCTCTAAATAGGTCCACGTGAAAATGTGGGCGTATAAAAAAACAATTTTTCGTACAATCAGGGGTCATACTCTAGGAAGTTACGCTCCGATATGTGCGAATATCAAAAGGAGTCGAGGTATTTGAGATATAAACATAATATGTTTTTAAGTTCCATCAGCATCGGATAAAAATTGTGACCTCTAGAGGGTCCTCAACATTGATATTCCATACATTTACTCTATTGGCTTATACAATGTGCAGCCATTTTGTCCGGCAGTTTCGGTCCGATTTTCACGAAATTCGAACTCGACCGTCATTATGGTGTATCGGTAATATATACGAATGTTGTTTTTTTTTTAAGTCAGATAAAAGCTGTGACCTCCAGAGGGACCACTAGCTAAAAATCCAGGAAGTTATGGTCCGATATGCGTGAATAACGAAAGGAACCGACATCTTTAGTGTTATAAACATACATTTCGAAATCAGAAAAAAATTGTGGCCTCTAGAGTGTCAACAAGCTAAAACGTGATTTTTCGTACAACCAGGGGTCATAATCCAGGAAGTTACAGTACAATACATGCCAATATCGAAAGGAACCAAGATCTTTGCGAGATAAACCTATATTTCAAGTTTCGTCGAATAAAAATTGTGACTGTCCACAAACAAATTCTGGACGGACGGACGGACAGGGGCGACAAGATACATCCATATGAAAGTGTGAGCGTGAAAAACAATGAGGAATAAAAAGGGCAGTGGATATTTGCCACATGTGGTATGCAAGAATTCCAGAATAGCCTTACGATCACATACCTCAATTATTTCCCGATTTCAATGAATCTTACAGATTATGATAATATTGATAATATCTCTGAGTAGTCAAACATTCTACTTCCGGTTCTCGGTTTCCGAGATATGGGGTACGTTACCACACAGTTCATGTGACACAGTTACAGTCTGCAATAATCAACCGATTTCAATAGAACTCGCAGATCATGATAACATTAATAATTGTTACATAGCGACAGATGTTATAGACGCTTCGTGCCATCTTCACACGTGAAACCGATTTTAATATCAACCTGTCCGCTATCGACACCCCTGGTGGTCCTGCTGGCATTCATTAGTCATCATGTAACATCAACTAGTGACTGGCCTGTTTTGCCGAACATTACGTACATCAGATAAACTACTTTTAAAGCCGAAAACTGTTCAACTAGTCTCTTATGGTCAGCGCTCTTTTAGTTATCAAGCACCTGTTTTATGGAATAATCTACCATTTAGTTTAAGATGCTGTACATCTCTATATTCTTTTAAAAAAACAACTTAAAACACATTTATTTAATCAGGCTTTTAACTGACTCTGTATACAATCGTTAACATGTCCATAATCTTGTTGTTTATTTATGATTTACATTGTCACTTTGTAAAGTGCCCCTGAACATGTTATATGAAAGGGTGCACTATAAATATGCTGTAATAATAATAATAATAATTTAACTTCCTTTGTCTGATAAGCAAACTGTACTGAATGTTAAATCTGACATAAGATCCTTTGTCTTGAAGGATTTATATACCCAGAATCGAAACGACATCGAGGAGGAGGCTAGGCGAGACGGAACACTGGAGAGCGTCTTGGAGTTGGCGTATTTGTGCCAAGCTAGGACATGGCTCCCTCAATACACGTTAGTTATGGGGTCTTTAACATTGAGATGTTTGTACTTGATATGTAAGAAGCAGAATAAAAGTATTATAAGATGTTAAACCAATGTTGTCATCCAGAACCTGACTTAAAGACCCAATACTGTCACATAATATCTCAAGAGTAGCCAAAATTTCGGCCACTTCCGGTTAGCAGTTTCCGAGATATCCGGTTACCACACTCTGAGATATTATTAATGTTATATTCTGTAAGTTTTATGGATATCGGTTGATAGTTGCGGTCTGTAGTCGTGCCACATGAATTGTGGTAACATGATATCTTCAAAACCGCTAACCGAAAGTGGTCGAACTTTGCCTATTCTGAGATATATTCATATTCTGTAAGTTTCAGGGATATCGGTTGATAATTGTAGTCCATGGTCGTGCCACATGAAATATGTGGTAACACATCTGCAAAACCGCTAACCGGAAGTGACCGAAAATGTGTCTACTCTGAAAGTTGCATTAATGTTATCATGATCTGTAAGTTCCATTGAAATCGGTTCATAATTGCGGTCTGCAGCCGTGCCGCTTTAAATGTGTTGTAACCTGGTATCTAGGAAACCGCTGAAATTTTGGCTTCTCTGAGATATTATGAATGTTATCATATTCTGTAAGTTTCGTGCCACATGAAATGATGAAATGTGTGGTAACCTGATATCTCGGAAATCGCTAACTGGAAGTGGTCGAAATTTTGGCTACTCTTGAGATATTATTAATGTTATAACATGATCTGTAAGTTTTACTGAAATCTGTTGATTATTGCAGAACGCAGACATTCCATATGTGGCAAATAGTCTCCGAATTGTCTTACTACATATTGTGGCTAATAGCCCCAGCCAATTAAGAGGTGCAAAATTTGTAATTTTTACATGGCACTGCTTACAAGAATATTTTCCACTGAAAGAACATTTTTCTTAAACAAGAATGCAGGTTTCCCTAAGAGTGTGCAATTCAGCATTATTTCACTATTACAGCACTGACTTCCCTATTACAGCATCGCTCTCCTTGTTATGGTGCTTTTCTTACTACAGCACTGGCCTCCAGTCTGCAACACGGCTAACCGTATTAAGGCACTGATCTCCATGTTATAACACTGCTTTATGTTTCACAACACTGCCCCCCCCCCCCATACTGCTGCATTGCCAACCATATTATAGAACTGACCTCTCTACTACAGCACCCCAGTCCTACACTACATCAATGCTATCCCTATCTATTATATGACTGAACAACAGAGTGTTTCATTTTTTACTTTTTTCGTAATTTCTAAGGTTTCTACCCGTCACCGAAGTCCACTGGGGCTTAAACTTACACCGTGATATTTTCACAATTTTCTTCCCAAAATGGCTGCCAGTGGCCATTTTCAGGATTTTCGGACGTTTTGTGCTTGACATATCACTACTTATTTCTGGACATAACACCACACACATGCCTATCCGGAGCTCCAGGGCCGCATGGATCGGTCCTGAAAGGGGAGGCACAAGCTGGGTTTTTTTTTAAAAATATTTTAAGAAACAAATTTGTACCCGCAAAACACGAAAATAACCTGCACAAAACTAGGTATTATTCAGTTTAATCCTCTAGTCTTGTTTCTGGCTGCAACCTGTGACAGCACAACTTGCCACAAGCACAAAATACTGTATAATCTAAACTATCCCTAGTGCAGCTACAAGCACGCCTACTACATGAGCTGCCAGGCTTGCATCCACTTGATGAGCCACATGACAGACTCCGGAGGACCGGTTGTAATGTTCTCTTAACCCAGCAATATAGTTCCGGATCAAGTTCCGGCGGATTACGATCTTCCAGTCAACACCACACAATAACTTGGTGATGACATCTTTTTACCTTCCCAACACATGCATCATTCTTTGGAGCAATACTACATGGTTTAGGTGGGGATGATGACATACATTTACCGTTTCGGATGCCTATACCCTCCATCGTGTTTCAGGCATCGATTTACAAGAGCTCTGTTCATAACAAGCTTACAATCAAATCGCCAATCGAGGAAAGAACAATCGTTGATATTGATTCAATTACTGAGAACACATGTCCAGTACCATTGAAATCCTGCCAGCTCATGCTCTTATTGGGTGTGACACGGTTACATGCTGATACGTCGTGGGGAAAGGAACAGCTTTGAAAGTGGCGAAGCTTGATTGTATTCTCTCTCACTCGTCAGAGTAGTAGACGCTCCAATAGAATCAATGCTTACACGGGCCATTGTGTATAAATCGGCTGTTTATGGATATCCAAAACTTGAAATGTAACATCGTCATCATCCTTACCAAAACCATGTAGTCTTGTTCAACAAACGATCCATTTGCAGGGAACGTGAAAAGAGCTAATCGCCAAGCTATTGTGTGGCGTTCACTGGAACATCGTAATCCGCCGGGAACTTGATCCGGCACTGTGTTACTGGGTGAAGGCTACTAAATTTAGAACATTACAACCGACCAACTTGCTCCAGAGTCTGACATGTGGCCCTGGGGCTCCTGATAGGCATGTGGTGTTACCATATCACTCATATGCTCCCATGTCCAGAAATAAAAAGTTTGTCTCTAAATATAATCTAGTTTGGTGAAATAATCGATCCCCCGCTAACGAGTTAAACGGCCATATTGTCAAGCATTTTGGATTTTACCATCATCCAATCATCCCACAACATAATGAACGATTTTAGTGTATTCCTTGACCCCCCAAAACATACGGTTAGACACCAATATTATCATCCTAGACTAAATACTATGCGAGTTATAGGGTGACCGAGATTCACCCGGCAGATTCTGAAAGAAGACACCCTAGGCTACAAAAATCAACCATAAAAAAAAAAATTTGTATACAATTTCCAGGTTCAGACATAGTTCTGCCAGACTAATAGTGTAGTGAATATATTACACCGGAGCTTCACCTTCAGTCACTACCTTCTGCCATTTTCAACCTATTGTAGATCAGTGTCATTCTGAACATCATTTTTCCCTGGATAATGAAAATTGCTTTTCCATGTCATGCAAATAGACGAGGTGACGGGTAGAAACCTTAGAAATGACGAAAAAACTGAAAAGTGAAACACCCTACTGAACAATGTGCAATTGCTTCTTATATAGAGCACAAGTTTCATAATCATTTATTTAAAAATAGTACTTTATTTTTTTCTCTCTTTTCACATACTGTAACTCCTGGAGAGCACTTTGATATATACATATGTAATATTCACCCTAGCTATGAAAGTTTTGGGGTTTTGTTTTAATCAAATAGAATTACATATTCTTCAAAATATTAAACATGCATTATGCAAGAGCTAAATCTGCTTATTACATGTCCTTCTTTATGCCTGAAATGTTATATAAATTATTAATTAGACATTTATTAACTTACCAAGACCATATTCAACTCTCGGTGCCATCGGATGCCTGCGATATTTAGTAGATTCAAATACGATTTGTGGTGGATGCGGTAACCGCAAAAATGGATAATCAAGACTTTGTTTACACGTATTTTCAAAAGAACAGTAGTAATGACAACGAAGCTAGCCTATAATTGTATCGCTAATATCTAGACTCAGAGTGAAGTAATTTGACTGAAATTTTCAGAATATTCTCTTGTCAATATCTATGTTATAACTATTATAGCAAGAACTGTAAGCTGTTTATCTCCTCTTACATAATGTCACTTTAATATAAAATATATTTGATTGATATTTTGACATATATACATATACCAAATATATTGTGGGAAAGAGAAACTGTTCAAATAATGGCAAATATCATTTCAATATCATGAACAATATACATATAAATACATGTAAATGAAATGACATACTTAAACAATAATCCACTACATTGAACAATACCAATTCAACATCAAGAATCATTCATAACAAAAACACCAGGTATGTATGGATATAACTACTTTTTCTGTTATTTAGTAACATCATGATCAATTGTTTTTATTCATTCTATACTTAATAAAAAAACATGGTAATGCACATACTTTTTCTATTTTTTTTTTTTTCGTTTTCTCTTATCTAGTGACGGTCAATTTTTGTTTTGAATTGTCAGATATCCTCCCAAAGTCTCATATAACAACCACTGGCCTTCGAAGAAATTATTAGTGAGCAGAAATTCGCCAGTGTATCTGTTATCACACGTTACTTCAGTCAGTTATATAGAAGAATAACTTGTGTTTTCCTTTTGCTTTCGTTTCTTCAAATCTTCATTACCCATCTATCGTAGCAATGAACTCGGTATTAGAATTACATTTGAAACGTGTTTAACCAGTTCTGTGAATCTATATTACTATATTCAGTTCATGCTTTATGTCTTGGAACCATGTTCCAAAAATAGGACACAATAATAATCAATTCAATGCCTTTAATACCAACATGAACATACACAGTAATTATGAATTCAATATCTGTAATACCAATATTAATAGATTCAATATCTTTAATACCAACATTAATCAATTAATGGATTCTACACCTCTAAACATCTGCTATTTGTGATTTTTAAAGGGTGTTCAGACACAACCTCACACATAAGATTATGAGTTATATGAGATCCATAAGGCATATTTAAGTATAGTTTTAAAATGAAAGGAAATGAAATGGGGTTTAACATCTTACATTTCTGTATCAATAAGGGCTAATAAAAGACGGGAGTTTTGAAATTGTCGATTAGATATTTAAAATAATCTAATAATGTATAAGTTTGTAACATTTAGGATATTAGAAATGGTCGATTAGATATTTAAAATATTCTAATAATGTATGAGTTTTTAACATTTAGGATATAAGAAATGATCGATTAGATAAGATATTTAAAATATTCTAATAATGTATCAGTTCGTAACATTTAGGATATAAGAAACGGTTGATTAGATATTTAAAATATTCTAATAATGTATGAGTTTTTAACACTTAGGATATAAGAAATGATCAATTAGATACGATATTTAAAATATTCTAATAATGTATGAGTTTGTAACATTTAGGATATAAGAAACGGTTGATTAGATATTTAAAATATTCTAATAATGTATGAGTTTTTAACACTTAGGATATAAGAAATGATCGATTAGATACGATATTTAAAATATTCTAATAATGTATGAGCTTGTAACATTTAGGATATAAGAAATGGCTGATTAGATATTTAAAATATTCTAATAATGTATGAGTTACTAACATTTAGTTTCATTCAGGATATAAGAAATGGCTGATATTTAACATATTTCAATAATGTATGAGATTTTCAGTTTTGTGCCAATAAAGCAACACCCATAAAAGAAATGCATGTACATAATATATAAAGCTTATAATATGAGACAATTTTGAGTATTGATATGAAATAGCAGTGTTTACATCATATACTGGAACTTTTTAACATTTTCCTAGCACTAAAGCCAACAGTGCCATTCTAACATACATTCCATTTTCAGCTTGACGGAAGTAGGCTGCTCTTGGATCAGTATCGAAACTTTGACTGAAATATTAATTGTGTTTTTTTATTCATAAAACATATCATACACATCTATTGACTTCCCTTACTTCACAATGAGAGTGGCACATTATTGCCAGATTTTACCAGGAAGACTGTCAATTAATGTCATATTATGTATTATATACTTTATAACCTTTTGTTGTACATTACCTGATATTATTTCTAATCCATTGCCATGGAAATCTATTATTCTACCAATGTATATGTATATATATTTTGTATACATTATTAAAATCTGAAGACTTTCCCCCCTACTGTGCAGATTTTCAAAAATTTTCGATAGCCGACAAAATGACTTGATATAATGAACACCCATAAAAAGAACGAAGAGGGTGTGAACAAGGTTTTCTGGTATACAACTACGACAAATAGTAAAATTAAATTCAAGTACTAAAATTTCTATAACCTAAAGTCTATCTTGTATAGTTTTCTACATACTAGACAATAAAATATATTCTTACCTTATTTCTTCTAAACGTGGCAATGGATGCATTACCACCATTTTCTTTTTAGCTTTCGTCATCAGTTCTGGAGTTATGACACACTGACCACATGCCTATATATAGTTATACAATATTGAGGTTTAAAGTTCATTAAATACCATTTATTATTATTGTATGTTACATTTTTGTAATATTTAAGACAGGATTAATGTTGATAAACCAAATAAAAATGAGTTTTACCTGTTCATATTCAGCTTGATTAGAGAATCTTTCTTTCTGTATTCTTGTCATATATAGAACATCAGTATCTAATAATACCTTCTCTACATTAGTAAATTCCTCCTATAAATACATAGATAGATTGTATATAAGCTATATCATGCATACAATTATACATGGGTGTCATACCAGTAGAGAATCGCAAAATGAGTAAAAATAGCAACCTACTAAAAGTATCCATTCTTAGATTTCTATAGAAAGTAGCGGTCAGATCAAATATACTTAAATGACTATTTGGATATCCCAATTTATTAGTCACATTCAGTTCAAATATCTGATCAAATTCAAATGATAATTCAAGGCCCATTTTCAGATTTCATGAATAGTGAATTTTTCAAATATATACATATTTTCTTTTATGCGTAAATTTTGATTTGAATATTATTTGATTTTAAAACAAATACTTACTATAGGAAACAACAAGGTGATCTAATTCCACTCATTTTACTATTAATCAAATAACCAATACTAAAAAGTGATCAATGAATCAATGTAATCACCGAATCTTACTACATCTATTAGATAAATATTGGTTAAAGGTTGTATTATCAATTTATACCTGTTTTATACCCTTGGATGCTACAAAGTCTTGTATATCATCTGGCATCCTTAAACCAGCCGGAGAAACATATCTTAGATTAACTTTATATAATGTTAACAGACGGGCTAGAGAATGAACTGTTCTACCATTCTTTAAATCTCCTACCATTGTTATCTAAAATAAATACAAATAACAACATTAATCTTTTTCCAAATAAAAATAGGACAAACCATCAAATTATGAGTAAAATTCCCTTTCCGGTTGGTCTGTAACATTATGCCTTCAAAATATTGATCAAATTTGTAATGTATAGCCCCTTTTTGATTTCTTAGATAATTTTGAGAGTAAATAATAATGTCCACAAATTTGGTGTTATTTTTTATGGTTTCTTTATAAGTTTACTGATATACTTTTACATGTCTTTTATATACTAAGCAGCAAAAGAAACGTCAGGTTGGTATGTTACTCTGAATAGACGCATTGCATAAAACTTGCCAAATGTATATTTGTGACCACATCTCCAACTTTACCCGAGCAATAAGTCTCTTTCCCAAACACAGAAATGAACCCAGGAAACGTTCTCAAAAACGCAACCTGACTTCTGAGATGGTAATGTGTTCTCCATGATTTTCATGTAACTCATGCTGCACGTGCTGTTCACCGGGACCAGCCCTATAAAATGCACCCTCATGCCTGGTTGAATCATTCACACTACAATGTCAGCAGAATGCCACAACTAATGACAGCTCAGAGAAACCAGGCACTTGGAAGACTTGACGCTGGCCACACTGTTCAAACCGTTGCCAATCACTTCCAGGTCAATGTTCGGACCATCTACAGGCTTCGGCAACGCTTTCAGGCCACAAACACCACGGATGATCGCCCCACCGAACTGGTAGATACCACAAGGCGACAAGACCTCCATGTTGTGTTTCAGCACATGCAGAATCCCTTCACACAGGCATCTGAGACAGCACGTCAGACAGTGGGAACACACAGAAGACCCATCAATACCTATACAGTGCGTCGACGTCTCACCAGTAAGAACATCCATGGACAGATCCTCACCCCTCAACATCGACGTGAACGTCTACAGTTTGCCCAACAACACCAGAACTGGCGACACAGGCACTGGAGAAGTGTTCTGTTCACAGATGAGAGTTAGTATTGCGTATCAACTGCAGATGGCAGGACCAAAATATGGCGTTGACGTGGCCAGCGTTATTCTGACCAATGTGTCATGGAACAAGACTCATGGGGAGGTCCAAGCATAATGGTTTGGTGTGGAATCGGCCTGAACCTGTGAGTGGGTCCTGTGGTGTTCCAAAATCTTGATCCAGCGACAGGAGGCGGCATCACAGCAGTGCGCTACATTGATCAAGCTCTCAGACCCCACGCCATACCACATTTCGCACGTCATCGAAACAATGTTTCCCAGCATAACAACAATTTAATAAATTTTTCTTATTATTATTAGTTCTTGTAAAAGTTATTCTGAAACAAAATAAAGCAGATAACTGTAAAGATGTAACAATACTTACAGTAAGATTATTAACAGTACCAATTTCTTCTCGGATCGTAAAGACATCTAAAAGAGCTTGTGTGGGATGTTCTCCAACACCATCTCCAGCATTTATTACAGGTTTACGACATGTTCTGGCTGTTGTCTGTAATTAAAGCGGAATAACGGAAGATTAGATAAAGAGCTGACAGTTCTTGCTAAAATAGTTAAAACAAGCCAACAGTGCGGCTGATGTCCCCCGCCAAAATCCCAAAATAAACAGATGACACATATTAATTAATAGCACATTTATCTTTTTCAAAATTATCGAGTAATCAAACTGATTATCTATGCTTATTCTAAGCATAAAATGTTCACTATCAAACTCAGGTTTTAATGTAACTGGTAATATCAAAGTTATTTTGTCCAAAAGCACTGACCAAAGAAATTGCTAAGCTCCGCTTATATTAGCTTTAATGGAAAATATTAAAGATACATTATGGGAGATTTGATAACGAGTTGGCAGTTCTCACTATAATAGTTAAAAACTAGATAATGTAAAGGCAATTTGCCGAAAATTTCATTTAAATTGAAATTTCCGGCTAGCCTTGATCATAATTACTAAAGTCAGTACAATAAACAGCATAGTCTTGATTATCCATTTAATCTTTAAATCATGAAGTAAAGTTATGCAGTAAATCGGCTCATAATCCACTAAAGATCGCAGGCTAGCGATGCCATCTAGAGTTGATTATGGTCTGGATAGGTTAATTAATGTCTAATTAATAATTTAAATAACATTTCAGGCCTAAAGAAAGACCTGCAATAGACAGATTTAGCTCTTGCATAATGTATGTTTAATCATTGAACTCAGTCAAAACATTCGCCTAATTAACATCTATACCTCAATTATGTTGTTATGTTTCAAAATCTTGACCAATAAAATTGCCTATTGATACTTAAGTCTAAGCAGAAAATTCTCAACATAGAGCTTAGTCAGTTTATTGATATAATGAATCTACGCTCAGAGTTTCATTGCTCACACCCAATTAGAACCAAAGTTATCGTGTTCCAAAGTCTCAACCAAACAAATTGCTTATCTCTGCTTAGCCTTAGTGAAAATGCACATGAACGATCTATGTCAAGACCTTCACGTAATAGACACCTACACTAATTTTGAACATTCTACCTGAATTGGGAGAGTTATTGTGTTCCAAAGTCTCGACCAATCAGATTGAAGTCTGTACTTTGTATAAGCAGAAAATGCTCAGCATCGAACCTTGTTAAGGTATTGATGTAATAAAACTATACACGAAGGTTCATCACTATCACTCAATTAGAATCAAAGTTGTCGAGCTCCAAAGCCTCGACCAATCAAATTGCTTATCGCTTTGCTTACCCTGTGATGAAAATGCTCTCATAATCAAACTTAGTCAAGGTAATGATGTGATGAAACTATGCACCAAGTTTCATCCCTCTCACTTAATCAGAACCAAAGTTATCGTGTCCTAAAGCATCAACCAATCCAAATGCTTATCTCTGCTTACCCTGAACTCCATCAAGGCATTTACCCAATCAACGCCTACACCAAGTTTGAACATTCTACCTCAATTTGAAGGAGAGTTATTGTGTTCCAAAGTCTTGACCAATCAAATTGCTTATCGCTCTGCTTACCCTGAGCAGAAAATGCTCGTTATCGAACTTTGTCAAGGTATTGATTTAATGAAACTGTACAACAAATTTCATCACTCTCACTTAATTAGAACTGAAGTTATCGTGTCCCGAAGCATTAACCAATCAAATTGAATATCTCTGCTTACCCTAAGCAGAAAATGGTCATTGCATTTTGATACAGCTGGTACTGACACGCCTAAATCATATTTCGAAGATGTTTAATGCCCTTTGTTCACCCTTACTTAAATTTGGTTCGTAAGGTCTTGGTTGAATTTTGTGAGATGCTACAGTAGTAATGAATTTGTCGAGGTGTACATCTTTGCCTAATCTCGGTGTGAAGTTTGATTTGTTTCGAACTAGACACTGTGATTCTGTAATGCTTTCCGATGGGTCATCAACATCAGCCTTATGATGATGGTGTTCTAGTCTTAATTTCCTGCAGTATTGCGAGATTTCAGACATTAAAGCACAGTTATCACTTCGAGGTGTGGGCGTGAATTTTAGGCCCTTGTTGAATAAATGAATATGATTGAGAGATAGTTTAACGCTGCTTAGATTTATTACTATACGATCTATTTTTCAAGGCTCTTTGGACGGTTTCGATTTTTCTGTCGGCCCTGGCCTAAAAAAAGAATTCCTATTGCACTGTGTGTATTTTCGGTATCTCGGAAATATATGTTTTGTTTCCTTGTCCTGCATTTGTTCTCGTATGATCTTTGACGACGAGGTCCCACTTCTTGCCTGTCTTGCGTTGTGGTTTAGGCCTTGGAATATATTGTCTTTCCTCTAAAACATGTTTATTTTGATTTTGGAGAGAGAGAGAGAGAAATGGGGTTTAACGTCCACTCGACCCAAACTAGGTCATTTCGGGACTAACATGGTTTAATTTTATTTCAATAATTCGCTTGCGCATAGGGGTCTTTAGCAGTGGGAGGAAACCGGAGGACCCGGAGAAAACCCACGAGGTTGGACAGGCGACCCTACTCCTTGTCACGTACAACCGGGGATTCGAAACCACGCCGGTTGACTCAATGACAGACTTTATGATACAGCGCGCGCACGCTAACCATTCAGCCATCCAACCCCCCTATTTTGATTTTGGACACCTTTACTTTTGCCGCTGGATTTTGGTATGCGATCCTGAATTGGTGTTACAGGTTTTTCGCGTATATCCAGCTCTTCCTCATTAGTTTTGAAGTAATCTAGTCCGTATTTATCTGAATACTTGTCAAGCCATTCCTTTCGTTTGGCCCTTCAGATTTAGATCTATATTTCGTTTTGTTTTTTCATACTTTCAATGGCCTAAATACTACATGAAGATCTGACCAGTTGTATTGGTAGGTCGCGTCAGGGGTCGTACAAGCATTGGACATTGATTAAACAATCAGCGTTGACGTTTCAAGAGGTTTACCCACAGTTCCGCGCATGGCATGCCAAGAAGTTGCCGTAACAGATAGTTTCATTGGCTAATCCCTCACGCTTTCCAGAATGCAAGTTATATAACAACTCTTCCAGATCCTAGCATATATAGTGTAGTACAGACAGATAAATGAAATTTTGTACTATAAAAAACGAAACGAAATAGGATCTGTGTTTTAATTAGATTGAATATATAATAGATGTAGAAACTACTGAACTTACTAGAACGGCACCTGGTTTAGGATGTCTTAACACTATCACATCAGCATAGCCTGACATCATGGCAACAGTATCTGTATCATAAAAATAATATCAATATTAGCTTCTTGAAATATTACTTTAGTATTTGCATTAAATTTTAATACCAATTACAGACATCCATAAATGACATTCATGTTACGCTATCAATTTAGTGTTATACACAGGGCTGAGAGCAGCTAACTTAATAACTGGTTAATGCAAACCACAAAATTTCACGCAAACGATACCAATCGGTTACGTGCAGTCGTGCCAACTCAACAACATGCGACCGATTTCCTGGTTACGCAAATTGAAATATTGGTTACGTTAACAAATTTCATTTACAAATTTATTAACATTTGATCAATTTTTATACAGGATGACTTTGTGACACAGGTGTAAATTATTTGTATTATAGCACAAACTCCATTCATTCATTTCTCCATCTTACCGGTACTTAGACAGATCAAGTATTTTGACACCACATAGGCTATTGACCAGTTGCAAGCAAGCAGGTTGATTTAAAAATAACTCCACCCCTAATTCTTTAAATGATTAGTTATGCCATAATATTTGAAAGCGTACCTTTGGATTTTTGAACACAAAATGAGAAATGAGTTTTACTATTTAACATGTCAGCTATATTTCCAAATAATTTACTACACGTGTCCCTTTCAGTTTTCACTATAGCCATGCTGTACGGAAGTACCAATGACCCGTATGTATGTCGTCAACTTTGACCCCCGCCGGCATTGCTCGAGCGATGATGTAAACGATTTTACTGTCCTGTCAATTTTAATATTATTTTATGACATCGAACTATTCTGTTTCCTTTTGAGACTTTGTGTATAGAGTGCCGAGGTTAATAAATACTGTTTGTCAATCAGTCACTACCTATGAGTGAGGCTATCTCATGCTACGTCTATGAGCTTGGAAGAATGATTACAAATGACAAGTGTAATATGAAGTACGTCTTCAGTGACCGGAAACAGTGTGGTAGCTACCATTCCTGGTTTTTGAAGGTCAGATATGATATAAAAACGAAAATCCATTAGTAATTTTTGGAACTGATTCCCCACTGCAACCAAAACATGACCAGTTAACAGACGGACGGATGTGGGCGACGACAATATACGATCACATTGTAATGTGGGCGTATAAAAATGACATCCCAAAATTTATTTGGCAGTAACTGTCGCTCTACCACAACGAGTGAGTGACATCATCTGCTAAATAATCGCTTAATATTAACTACTTAATATATTCCAATCCAAATATTTATCAACATTTCTTAGAGTGTCTATTTATTAACTAAAAACATAAAACCCATTCAAAATATGATCATCAATCCGAGAATATACCATCCGACATTAGTCGTGTAGAATTTGGCACATTTCCATTTCATGCATCTCACCAGATTTCTACTTTCTCTTCAGTTATTGTACTATAACCGTGTGCAATCAGAAACAAAGCTTACATTGTCTAATATTTTTGGATGTTTGTGTGTGTGTGTGTGTGTGTGTGGGTGTGTGTGTGTGTGTGTGTGTGTGAAATAGCTTTATTTAGACAAGTTATGGGATACATGTATATTGATTTGGGGTGTTAATACTATTAGGATATGGGACGTATATGACTAATTTCTACGTGTTGTTGGCCGACATCAAAGAGATTAAAACATCCGTCAATAGAGAAACCATGAGGTAAACATGTAGATTAAAATTAAAATCACTTTTATTGGATTATGAATAGTCCGACAAAGGGGAAGCAATGACTTCAATTTAAGATTGGATTGATGAATTGTCTGACAAAGGATTAAGTCAGTCAATCAAGGTAGGTGTATAGACGATATAACAAGATAAATATGTTGATCACTTAATTACCCAATCAATCCAGCCTATTATCAACGATAATCGGGTTGAGTGGTAGTTATACACTCAGTACACTATATTAATTTTGGAATTTTGAATATTATTTACCACGTCTTGATGTCCGATTGGGAATATTCCCTGGTCGGACAATTTATGACGTTTGGAAAATAGTGTCGGGCATGTTCGGAACATACAGGCAAAATCCCATCAGTGGTTTCTACTCACCATATAAACTTTCTCCTTTCTGTACAGAAGATGTAACCTCATTTAAGTTAATAATAGATCCACCCAGTCTCTGCATGGCGACACCAAATGAACAACTAGTTCTTGTACTAGCTTCAAAAAACATGGATGCCATTACTTTTCCCTGTAAAATACATTGTGATGATTTAAGTAATGAAATTAATATTCCAAACTAATTAATAAATAGTGGAATTTTTCGTACAATCAGGGCACATAATCCGTTGAAATCTCTAAATAAACAGATGACACACATAATTGTAGGTTTATCTTTTTCAAAATATTCGAACAATCAAACTGATCATCAACTTTACACTAAGTTTAATCACTCTCTATCAGATAAAATCAAAGTCAAAGAAATTGCTTTGCTCTACTTAGTTTTAGCAGAAAATGTTAATCATTGAACTCAGTCAAGACATTCACCTAATGAACATCAACATCAAGTTTAAACATTCTAGATTAATTAAAAGCAGAGTTTTTTTCCAAAGTCTTGACCAATCAAATTGCTTATCGCTCCTTAGCCTAAGCAGAAAATTCTCATCAAACTTTGTCCAGGTAATGATATAATGATTCTATACTCAGAGTTTTACAGGTCTCACTTAATTATAACCAAAGTTATCGTGCCCAAAAGGATCAACCAATCAAATTGCTTATCTGCTTACCCTAAGCAGACAATGTTCATTATCAAACTCCATCAAGGCATTCACAAAATGAACGCTAACCCAAGTTTGAACATTCTTCCTCAATCAGAAGGAGAGTTATTGTGTTTCAAAGTCTTGATAAATCAAATTGCTTATCGCTCTGCTTACCCTCAGCAGAAAATGTTTATTCTCGAACTTCGTCAAGATATTGATGTGATGAAACTATACACCAAGTTTCATCACTCTCACTTAATTAAGACTAAAGTTATCATGTCCCAAAGCATCAACCAATCAAATTGCTTATCTTTGTTTACCCTTAGCAGAAAATGATCATCTTCGCACTCCATCAAGGCATCCACCTAAAAAAACCACTTTCTGCAAGTTTGAACATTCTAGCTCAATTAGAAGGAGAGTTATTGTGTGCTTACTCTAAGCAGAAAATGCTCATCTTCACACTCCATCAAAGCATCGACCTAATAAACATCTACACAAAGTTTGAACATTCTAGCTCCATTAGAAGGAGAGTTATTGTGTGCTTACTCTAAGCAGAAAATGCTCATCTTCACACTCCATCAAAGCATCGACCTAATAAACATCTGCACAAAGTTTGAACATTCTAGCTCCATTATAAGGAGAGTTATTGTGTCCCAAAGTCCCGACCAATCAAATTGCTTATCATTCTGCTTACCCTGAGCAGAAAATGTTCATTATTGAACTTAGTCGAGGTATTGATGTAATAAAACTATACAACAAGTTTGATCACTCTCACCTAATCAGAATTAAAGTTAATATGTCCCAAAGCATCAACCAATCAAATTGCTTATCTCTACTTAAGCAGAAAATGCTCTCTTCGAATTCCATCAAGGCATCAAGCTAATAAACACCTACACCTAGCTCAATTAGAAGGAGAGTTATTGTGTCCCAAAAAGTGTGACGGACAGACAGATAGACAAACCCATTTTAACAGCTTTCTTCAATAGGCCAGGGACAATAAAAGAGAAATATAAATAATGCCAACTACCGGTAGATTGATTATCATTCAGCGTCAGAAGTGTCATGGTGGTCCGTGATCCGAAAATTTGCTATGTAAATCTATGAATACTTTTTGACATAGTAATTATGTTTAATAGTTTAATTTAGTGTTCTTGTATTATATAATGCATTTTCAAAAAGGCATACACTTATGAGAAAACACAAATTTGCAAGGGTAAATGAATACAGAATAGCATCCAATCATGCTCATGGCTATAAACCATGCACGGCTGAAAGGGAAAGAACAGAAATTTTTTATTATGTTTTTTTTTTTACTTTTTTTGTGCCTCCTTCATATGTAAATATTCTTAATTTAAATAAAATATCATAATTAATGTATTTTGGAAATTAAAATTGTAATAAACAACACATTGACCAGCATTTTTTAGCAAGTCTTCATGGTTATTAGATCTAAGTTTGAATTTTGTTTGTACTGTATTTACACTCAGAACTTTTAATAATATTAACTAGAAAGTGTCAAGTGAATACACAGGGGTATTTCCAACTTTTTATGTATGTTTATTTATATTTAAAAGGATATAACCTGAAATTATTGACATTTTATAAAATATCGCGATATAGTGATTATATCGTGATATTTTCTGAAAATATTGCGATATCTATTTCCGGTGATATCGCACAGCTCTAGTGAAATGTAGTGAAATGAGGTTTAACGTCCTACTGTTCTGCTCCTATACTGGGCTAATGAAGACGAGCATACGCCATACAATGGGTCAATTCAAGTTCTGGGTTAAGGTGGTATAGTGTCTAACACCAGTTAGATCAGTGTAGCACTGGTGTAACGCTGTGCTAACTCAACCTCGGACCCCCTCTGTATTTGAAATCAGTCCGAGTTAAGGTCTGTGGTGTTGAGGTTGTGTTAAATATGGATATATTTACACTACATGAACACCAGTGTTGTATCTGTGTTACCCAAACACTAACTTATACCCGAGCCCCTCAGTTCGTCTATATTTTCAATATCAATTTCCCGATTTAAGAAAGAAATATACATGAAAAAAATATAAAGACAAGGAGCTTTGTGCAATATTATTTTTATAATAGTCATAAAAACTTGTTAGGTAATAATAACCTGATAAAAGTTATTATCTTGTTAAAAATAACTCTAACACTAACCCCTTGGGGTTAAAAAAAATATCAGTTCAAGTCATTTATTACAACACTGGTGTAAAACAGCAGACGGCAAGAAGGGAATTTCTTTTAAGGTTTTTAGATTTAGTTTCAAGGCTTAAAATGATATTTTTTTATCCATACCTAAGACAAAGAAATGTTGTTGCTAATTTACGAGAAATTTTTAGGAAATTTGGACTGAATAATGATAAAATGAGACTACAAAAATTCAACATATATCCTAGTTACTTAACTTCCCCAATTACCTTTCTTTTGGATTTTGTTTTATTTGGCCAGCTCATGCAAAGAATTGAATGTGTTAGAACAGAAGACAAAAACAAAATGTAACATTTGAAAATAACATTAGTGCTATAGGTTTTTTTTTTATTTTCCACCAGTGTTAACACTGGTATTAAACTAGTTTAGACACTGGTGTAAACACTAGTGCTAAATCGAGAAGCTCAGGTTAAAGCACTAAAAAGAACACCAGTTATACACCACTACAACACAACCTTAACACATGCAAGCGTAACCCGGGACTTGAATTGACCCAGTGTGCTATGAGGGAAATTTTGCCCGGGCAGCGGCACTATCGCCTACTCTTATATCGAATTCCAACTGCCAGGGGATCTTTTACGTGCATTCCAATATATTCACAGAAACTCTTTTTTCGTCTGATCTGAAGGACTAGACAGCTGTCCTTGTCAGGCCCTCCGTTCTGCACCACTGACAAGAGGAAACCACGTCGGAAAATCTGGATGAACTTTCTCGGCCAATGCAGGGATCGAACACTCGACCTCCAAGCTAGCCAGCCAGCGTCTTAACCACCTAGCCACTGTGGCTCGGTAGTAGTGGAATGTAGTTCAAAAAGTTTCAATTATTCTCATTTTATGTGAATACTTTTTAGGACAAATTGGGAAGTTTTAAAACAAACCTTTAAGATGTAGTCGAGAGGTCTATCTCTCATTACCCCAACTCGGAAATTATGGGCAAGATTAAATATTTGATGTAGCTAGAAATAAAATAAAAAAACGTTTTAAAACTTCATGTTGTTTACGAATGTATGTAGACAAAACTTGCAGAATGAAACGCAAATTAAGATTTTCAGACCATACACATTAAAATCAGTCTTTCCAAAATGTCACTTTCTACTGATTTCAAACATTCATTTTTCCTTATACTGACCTTTCAGCTCCATTGTTTTATTATTATTTACATAAGGAAATGTTTATTAGCCTTTTGGTGCATAAGTTAGCTGCTTTAATAAGAAACAGAATAGAATAATTAATATTCCACAAAATATAATATTTTGTCGGCAGTATACAGGCACACATCAGAACAGAAAAGGCACATTCCAAATGAATATACTTACAGCACTTATTAAATTTTCCCATAATCAATTCTACAATTACTGTGCTCTTGGACCTCAGAACCTCCCTTTATAAGGGGTGAACTTACCTGTTCTTTTGTAAATGATATAACAGACAAGACATGATGTCCAGTTAGACCTGGTGTATAATGTGGCATGCCTACAGGATGATAATGTTGTACTGGCAGATTACCGGGATCCATTAAACCACTGTGTAGCTCCTGTGATGTATGAACTGGTGACTTTAGTGGCATCGGTGCTAGCCATCTATCAGCTGGAATATAATCAAACATAAACACATTAATCACGCTTTTCCTTCCAAACTTGGCACCTATATATTAATTTTTCTTTTTTTTTAAATTACAAAAAAACATGTAGGTTTTTGATGACTGGAAGCATATCACTTGAATTGCTATCACCTATAAAAATTAGTGAGTGTGGTAAAATACAAATGAAATGAAATGTGATTTAACATCCTGCTTTTCTGTTCCATCTGTACTAATGAAGACGGACATACATCAAGCAATACATCCTACTCTTTTTTCAAATAAAAAATTTCAAGGGTTCTTTGACGTGCAGGATGTGTAAATGGGACCTCAATTTTTCATTCAATCTGAATGACTAGACACTGTTCCTTGCCAGTTCTTTTTGTCATACACCACTGACAAGGGGCAACCACGCCGGACAACTCCTGGGGAACTTTTTCAGTCAAAACCAAGATCAAAACCTATTGTCACTTTATCATTAGATGTACATTTAAGTAATTTATAACTAAGAAAACATGTAAGAAATAACCAACACCATTGAAATGAATAAGACCTCTCTGAGTAAGACAAAAAACATTTTATATGAAACTTTTTTGATATATTTTGTGAGATGACAATATCTCTTATATCTTTGTTGAAAATTTTACATCTATAGACAGTTTTAAGAAGTGTTTTTTTTTTTAAAATTAACTTTCATCAGATTAAAAGCTAAAAATAAAACTAATCCAGTTAACCTTTCAAAACAAAGATTTTATCATATAGGCCTATTGCTTCAATTGTTTTCCACTTGACTAATTCAAAGAACACAATTCTAAATTTTATTTTGATCTAAATCAAAGAAGTATAGAATCATTTAAATATATATAATAAGTAAATATAAGTAATTGAATTATAAATTACAAAATAATAAGAAACAAGATCGGGTAAGAGTCTCTGATCGTTATTTGAAGAATTGTTAATCCTAGAATGCAGTTAAAGTTGAATCTCTAAAAGGTACATCAGTCCAAAAATGGTTCAATTCCAGTGAAAATTTGACACCAACCGAAGACGATATATAGAAAATATAGATGAAACAAGCCAGCGCCACCTATGACTTTTGGATGGATATTTTGACTTTTTCTTAGTTAATGGGGCATTATTGGAGATCAGATAAAGAGTTGACAGTTCTCGCTATAATATAAACAAGAGCATCTGTACCGCTGCAATATACGTCCACATTCCTGAGGGTCGGGGCATGCACCAAAATAAATAAATGTGCAAAGTTACAAGCTGATCCATTCAGAATTGCAGCCTGGCTCGGCCCTCTGGGGGTTGGATATAGAACAACATAAATAGGTACAACTCTATGATGGATCATGCCGAATTGGATTCAAAAGTGTTAATAATTTCAACCTGTAGATTATTTATAGACAAAATATTAACAAAAAGTGTGTGTGACACAGGCCAAGCAGGGCGGATCATGCACCAAAATTAATAGTTGCCATCCTTAGGGTGTAAGGAATAAGTATACTAAGTTTCAAGATAATCCATTCAGAATTGTGGCCTTCAGATGGTAAACACAAAACCAGCGGCTGCCAGGCAGGATACGCCCACATTTTGTAAGAGATGGATAGAGAACAAGCTCAAAACAAAAACAATTTTTTGTACAATCGGGGCCATAATCCAGAAAGTTATAGTCTGAAATGCGCAAATATCAAAAGGGACTGAGATTTTTGGAATATAAAGATATGTTTTAAGTTTCATCAAAATCGGATAAAAATTGTGACCTGTAGAGGGTCCATAACCTTTGTATTACATACTTATACACAATTTGCGTACAAAGAGCAGCCATTTTGTCGGGCACTTTCATTTAGATTTTCCCAAAATTCCGATTCAACCTTCATTATGGTGGAATGGTGATATATCTAAACAGTTTTTAAAATCGGAAAAATATACTCTTCAAAAAAAAGTTGGGGTTATTGAAATGCAAATACCTATGCAGGTTGCGATATGGTAATTAGTCATGGACATTTGACATGCTTTGAGAGTATGTTCACAGATGAAGAACTTATCGCCCCAACAGAACTATTGAGCTGCACATGCGACACGCAATAGCGCCATACACGTGGGAGGGGTTCATTGTCAAATTTGACACTTCAAGGAAGGGTTGATGAAAACTGCCGCATGCTGGCTTATCTATCCATGTTTGCTTTCCCATCGGTTCTTGCATAAGATTTACTGTTTAGTGTATCTTTGCTTTAGTGTGTTACCGACAATACTGCAAGAATTGGCCGTGGCACTGAAAGAGGAGTGGGTCAGATTGCCCCAAATCATGATTGGACGGCTGATTAGGAGCATGCCACGACGAAATGCTGAATGTCTGAGGATTGGTGGAGCAATTACTCATTATTAAGACAAAAATCAAAAACCTCCATTTTCACTTTTGACGGTGTATCTCTTTGCGAGTGAAATGGGGCCGTCAGATAAACCGCCCATATGAACTGTTTATGTTCATGTGTAGGTATTTGGCCTGTTATTAACATACACTGGTTACCTCTAATAAAAACAGCAGTGCATTTCCACAGTTTTGTATTGTTTCTGAATAACCCCTACTTTTTTTGAAGAGCATAATTATGACCACTAGAGAATCCACAAGCTAAAAATGAGATTTTTAGACCAATCAGGGGCCATAATCCAGGAAGTTATGTTCGGATATGTGTGATTATGAAAAGGAACCAATATCTTTATGATAAAAACATATATTCAAAGTTTCATTCAAATCGGATAAAAACTGTAGCCTCTACATCAAAATCGGATCAAACATGCATTTCAAGTTTCATCAAAATCGGATCAAAATTGTGACCTCTAATAAGGTGTCCATAAGCTAAAAACACGATTTTTCATACAATCAGGGGCCATAATCCATGAAGTTATGGTCCTACATGCCAATATCAAAGGAACCAAGATCTTTGGGAGATAGACTTATATTTCAAGTTTCGTCAAAATCGGATAAAAATTGTGACCTGTAGCGTGTCCACAAACAAATTGTGGGCGGACGTCCGGATGGACAGGGGCGACGACAATATACGTCCACATGAAAATGTGGGCGTAAAAAAAAAGGAGCGTGACCCTGCCCCTGCCCTTGGGCTGTAGGCAATTCACAACACACACAAAGAAAAAATGGTTGTGGCTCTGACCATGCGGTCGGGCATTCACCAAAAACACTAGGGATCATCCTTAGGGTATAAAGAATAGGTATGCAAAGTTTCAAAAGGATTTGTACGGACACAAAAATTAGGTGTGGCTCTGATCTGACCCAGGGGGTCGGGCATGCACAAACAAATAATAGAGGTCATCCTTAGGGTATAAGAAATAAGTATAAAAAGTTTTCAAGATGACCCATTTAAAGAATTGCGGCCTGTAGCAGACACACAGAATTACAAAGAGAAGATAGGCGTGGCTGTGCCCCTGGGGGTTGGGCATGCACCACAAACAATAGGGATGATCCTTATGCAAAGTTTCAAGATGATCCATTAAGAATTGTGGCCTGTAGGTGACAAATACAAAAAATGTCATGGCTATGCCCCTGAGGGTTGAGGAAGGACCAAAAACAATAGGGATCATGGTATGAGGAGTAAGTATGCAAAGTTTCAAAACAATCCATTAAGATATGCGCCCCCTTTAGGCAACCCGGACAAATACATACACACCCACAAAGACAGGGGCGACGGCAATATACGTCCACATTATGAATGTGCATGTATAAAAATAGATAACATAAATAGAATATGCTGAAAATTTCAATCAAATTGCTCCACTCTGAACAGAGATATTAGCTTTTGAATTTTAAGCTAGACTCAATCATCATTATAAAGTCGGTACAATAAAAAACAAAGTCTCAATTATCCAGTTTTACGTTTAACTATTTTTGAAAAAATATATTCCAATCCGTTAAATATCGTAGGCTAACGATGGCATTGAGAGTTGTTTATGGTCTGGGTATGTTAATTAAAGTCCAATTAATAATTCAGATAACATTTCAGGTCCAAAAAAAGACCTGCAATAGGCAGATTTACCTCTTGCATATAATGTATCTTTAATTAAATGTTAAACATCAATTTAAGTACATTTTAGCGTGGATTAATCTATGAAAAATTAGATATTGTCTGAAAAATGTAAATGACGATCACCAACTTTAAACAAAGGGTTAGAATTAGAATAAAGAAAGAAATTTCTGCCCAATATAAAATTAACCTTCAAGAAAAAATATTTTAAATAATAAGAGATAATAACAGATAACAGATAAGAGATAACTAAATATATATTTCTAATCTAAAGCAATAACATATAATTGCAACTACAGCAACATTTATTTATACCTAATTACCTATAGGTTTATCCTGTACTGATGGCACACATGTTTCAGATATAGAATGAAGACCTACAGCTTTAATCAAAAGAAAGAATAAAATTACAAATAAAAGTTTTGTATGTTCAATTTTTGATATACCCGCTACTTATAAATTGTCAAGCAGGAAAATTTAAGTTCTTCAAAAATAGCTACAAGGCTGAAATAGATAAAACCTGAGGAATAAAATATATCAGCTAAACCCCAACATTAAACACAAGAATAAATGTTATAGGTACACTATTCTTATAATAAACAGCAAATATACAGTAGAAAGCAGTCTTACATAAGCCATACTGTTCGAATCTTAACATAATTTATATCCAAATAATGTACACATTAATTTTACTCTGCCATCTTTAATTTCTTGTAATTGTCCGTCAGCATCTGAACTATAAATCACTATGATAAAGGCATTTGAGTTACCGATATGTGTTAAAAAAAAAAAAAAAATATTTGAGTTTCAGATTATCTTATTTTTTACCTTTCTAGTGAAGATATACAGCTCAAATTTGGTAGTCGGAAAGAACTTTTTGTGTAGATTACGAATCTGCGATCAAATTACAGGGTTCGCATGCTACTTGGCCATAAAAACCAAAAGAATTTAGGTGTAATTGTATATTTTCTGGATTTTGTAGTGCTCCAGGAGCTAAAAATAGATATAGACCCAAATTTTGGCCTATCCAGTATACCGGTAGTACTACAGAAGAAACATATGAAAACGCATCAGTCTTCACTAGATTCCCACAAAATTGGCCTCGAATACGGTTTCAGACACAAATTTTTGAAAATTGCCTCGTATTTTCAAGCCGATATAACCCAGTAGATGAGCACCTAAAAATCTGAAACTTGATGTAATTATAGTTTGTACTAATGTCTCCAACATATGTTAAAGCCATTCTTGTCCCATGCCATCTCGATATTTTTTCGATTTTTTTCAAAATCTGTGTTGTGGGTCATTCCGTGTCAATTATCACCCAAATGAATTAAATCGTACCCCATTTTGCTGAAAAGGCTGACATGTACAGAGAGAAATAAAAATATCTTCTATCCAGCTACAATAACTGAAAAACAAAACCACTGTAGACAATGTATTCACATTTATTCATACCTTCACGCACAATAATTACTCTGCGTAAATCATGCATTTTCAAGGGAGAAAACTTACCTGGTCGAATATCTTTATAATCTGGAGATTCGGGTACTGTTTTTAAGTAAACACACAAACATTAAAAAAATAAGCTTATTACAAATTGTGTTCAAAGATTAAGATTAGATGTTCACACATGTGGGTGGTACAGGTATAGAGTTATAAAGTGGGTTGTAGTTGCTGCAATAGAAATGCCAACTATGGTTTATGGCCGATTTAGACGTAAATTATCACCAAAAAAAAAAGTCCCAGTCCGAAATATAAATAAAACCTGTGTCCAAATGGGTCAAAATGGCTAAAATCCAAAATGGCCACCAGTTTTGGCCCGAAAATGCCAATTTTTATCTAGTTATCATAATATGATCTATTTTTTTATTATGTGGACAATATACGTCTAGACCGACCATAAATCGTGGTAACTATTATTATTGCAGCAACTGCCCGAGATAATGCAGAATTGAGTTAAAATGCCTGGACTATTGTATCTATATGGGTGGGTTGTATATAGTTATAAAGAATCAAAAGTAAGAAAAAAAGATTCTACTTAGAAAAAGCAAAAATATAGATTGCCAGGCCAAGAATATACACTCAAAGTCATTAAAAATGCAATGCCTAATTCGTGAAATATTTCTGGTAAACATTTTCTTGTGGCACATAGGTGAAATTTGTGATGGGTCTCTTTTTGTGGAGTTCTGGGTTTGAACCCAATGTCAGTTCTTTTTTCACGATTTTAAGCAGTCCCATGTCACACGTTTTGCACGTGCATTCCCTGCACTCTGCCCCTTTAAATACAAATCAAAATTTCAACATTCATCACTTCGGTTAATGCCACGCCTTAGACAAGAAAACAGAAACAGAGCTATTGGCCGTCACCAGACACTTTAATTTTAATGTCCACCCATCGACCGTTGCTCGCCTCAGACAACGCTTCCACGCCACTGGAAGAGTTGCCGATTGACCCTGACCTGGAGCACCACCTGCAACAACTGCTTCTCAAGATTGCTACATCCGACTACAGCATCCGTGCAACAGGTTCCAGTCAGCTACTGCCAGGGGAACTGTTGGAACACGGCAATGTCAGGTCAGCCCTCAAACAGTCGAAAGGCTGCCGTCGACCATACCAAGGTCAAATCCTTTTGCATCGTCATCGACTTGCCAGACAGCAATGGGCCGCAAATCAGGGGTATCTGCACAACATACCATGGCGAAATGTCATCTTCTCGGATGAATCCCGATTCAACCTCACGTTTTCCTGATGGACGTCACCATATCTACCGACGTCGACATGAACGCTTTGTTCGTAACCCGATCAAACACCTTTGGGATGAACTTGGACAACAGGTTCGAACTCAAGCAGTGCCACCACGAACTGTTGCACAGTTGGCACAGGCACCCCAAAATCATTGGCAAACAATCCCACAGCGTGAAGTGAGACATCTGTGCCAGGCGACTTCAGGCATGTGTAAGAGCTCAGGGTGGACATACCCGATATTGACTTCAGCTGACCCCTGCTATGTTTTATGGTTCTCTGACGTTTCAGTTTTGTGCATTTGTAGTGAATTCTTTCATGAAATTATCCACAGATGCTTGTTATCTCGATTTTGTCAATTGTTATGTACATTTGTTAAAAGTTTTTGCAGTAAATAAATTTTGAAATTGGCATTGCCTTTTTAATGGCTTTGAGTTTACAATACCAGCAGCTTAAGTCCTAAAAACACCAAGTTGACAGACAGACGGATGAATCAATTTTCATAGTCCCCTGCTCTCTTTGAAAGGCTGCAGACAAAAATAGGGAATATTATAGATTATTGTAGCCTCTGTTGGGTTAACAAGATATCTAAATGACAGACAGACAGTTGAACGACAGGGTGACAACAATATACAATCACATTCAAATGTGGATGCATAAAAAGCAATTAAAATCTAAAATGTTTAAATACACATAAAAAAACTACCAAAAATACCATAAGACAATGTTCAAGTTATCAAATACCAAGAATAAAGAACGATTTTGTCCGAACATAAACCTTTTAATTAATGTGTTTATTTGTTTAATTATATGCTGTTCAGATGCTCAAGTTAAGCTGGTTTAGAAACCCTGATTATCATTTAATCAGTTCCAAAAAACGTATCTCGCTACCTATCTTGGCTGTCTCAACAGGTCAGGCTAACAGTGTCAGCTTCAGCCAACATGCAACTTTTTGTGAAAATTTGCAGCGTCAAGTAGGATAAATACAGTGTAATGAACTAAACATCAGCTATAGTCATCTGAATGACATATTAGTTTGGACATTCACTACATTTTTAATATAAGATTTTTAATATAAGATTTTGAAAATTAAGTTCAGAATATGTAAAAAAATCATCTTTGTTAAACAGAAACCAGTCTTGGTATGTCACAAAAGATATAGACCACAACAACAAAAATTAGGTATACAAAAATAATTCGAAAATTCAAAAAACTTACAAGAAGAAAAACTGTCAAAACTTTTAATAGGATGAATATATCTGTCGTGAGTATGACCACCCAGTTTTCTAGGACTACCTGGTTCGGATATAGGTAGTGATGATACAGGTGGAATATATAATGAGAGCTGAGGTGGTTCAACTGTAACTAATTGATTGTGTGGTGTCATCGACCTTACATCAACACCAAAGCCTGGCTGGACTAAAATCTGAGAAATGGAAAGTTAAAATCATGTCAATTTAAAAACAAATTTTAATCAAATTCCAGGTTATAAAGTGATTTATAAAACAACTTAATTATATCATAATTTAGCAGTGCAAGGCAATAAAACAATATATGTCCACCACATTGTCTAAAGCAGGCTCGAGATGCTTCCCTGTATGTGAAATGAAATGAAATGGGGTTGTCCTACTCCGACTGGTCTAATACTATTATGGCCTACTCTTAAATTGAATTACAACTGCCAAGGGTTCTTTTACGTGCACGTCAAATTTAATGTGTACACAGACCTTAGTTTATCGTTCCATCTGAATGACTATAAATTGTCCCTTGCCAGGCCCTCCGTCCTGCACCAATGACAAGGGGGAACCACCCTGGAAAATCCTGATAAATTTTCTCGGTCAACACAGGGATCAAACAAGGGACCTCCAGGTTAGCGATCATCGTGGCTTCACATCACTGTATGTTGTCACAGGAGAAATTGAAAAATCTGAAAAATCTCCAGTCTTTAACAAGATTTCATAGACAGTTCAGATAACTTTGCGAAAAATCAAATGGGACACCCTGTGAGAGAGATATGAGGTTTAAAGTCCACCCGACACAAACTAGGTCATTTTGGGACTAACATATGGTTCAATTTTATTTCAATAATTCGCTTGCGCATAGGTGTCAGGTGTTCCTTATCAGTGGGAGGAAACTGGAGGACCCAGAGAAAATCCAGGAATTTGGACAGGCGACCCTACTCTTCGTCACGTACAACAGGGGAATCGAAACCAGGCCAGTTGACTCAATGACAGACCTTACCATACAATGCTCACGCGCTAACCATTCGGCCATCCAACCCCCCTGAATTTGTGTTACTTTTTCTTTAAAAAAAATCTATTGAACAGTAAAGTAAAGTCTTTGTGTATTGCGATTTCCACTACACAGATGCAGTGAAACCTTAGATATCTCAGTAAATCTAATGTAGAAATAAAAGCAAAATTCTCACCTCGCCATCAATAAATGCCGTTTCTCCACGTAAAACAACCCGTCTAACAACACCACAAACGCTCTTTCCAGCAAATGGGGTCCATTTTGATTTTGTGTATTTCATATATTGGGGTATTGTCCATTTGCTCTCTAGATCTACTTCTATGTAAGTGTCTGGTTGTTCTGGTAGATTAAATATACGTCTAGGATTCGTGTATAAACGAGATACAATATCCTGTAAATACAATAACATTTGATTCTTATAAAATATACAGCTTAAAAATTTTAACAGGAAGTTCACTTAACAGTTCCAGGATTATTTTACACTCTAGGAACCTTGAATCAGGAAATTTTCAGTTACAATTACCAACTTACAAATCAAAAACTTTTCGAAGAAGATCATTTTCATATCTGGCAGCCTCACATTAGAATAATCTTCCTCCTTACTTGAACAGTCGCCATGAAGACCATCCCTATCAACTTTCAAGTCATCACTGAATATTTATCTATTTTGTCAATATGTTTAGTAATGTGTTGTAAATATTGTTCATAATTATCGTAGAGAACTGAACTCCTTTCATGCACAAACGTGTAACAATTGGTATCAGAACACATTTACAAAGTTATGCTTTACAAAGCATTAACTTGTTTTTGGTGAAGTCTGAGTCTTTTTAATTATGATATACACCAGAGGCATTTTTTTTCTAAGGGCCCCAGCATAGGTCGCCTCGGAGTCAGGGTTGTCCACCGGAAAATTTTGACAATTGGATCGCTGTAGATGAGATTTAAAGCACTTTTCAGAGGGTATTGATAGAAACTGGAACCGATTAATTTGGTGTCCAAATCTGTCGATAAACGAATGAAATTGGGTTTAACGCCCACCTTCTGAACTATCTCAACTAGGGATGGACAATAATTTTAATAAATCAATATACCGCAATATGTAAATTTTATTGACAAACATTTTTTTTACCATTAAAAATACCGCAATGATCCAATATTTCGTTTGACTCTAGATTATCGCCATTCTTTCAAAAATATTCTCTCTAAGATTATTGTATTTTATTGAAACAAAGTATAAATCACATTGGTCATACGTAAGAATTCATACTTCATAAGTCCATACTCAACAGAGCTGTATTAAGGTAGAAGTTTTTTGCTTAACTAACTATAGCTGCAAAAGGGCTCTTCCCAGATTTAACATTTTCTTTCAGTTTTATTTTTGGAAATTTTCAAAAAAGATTCGGGACTGGGGATTGCGCCTCTGGCGCCTCAGCTATAACCCACTAGTACGAGTCAAACATACACTGCATTTGTCATAGTGATTTAAATGTGAATCTGTTGTTTTCTATGTTAAATATCTATATTAACTTACCTCTAGTGTAAGCCTGTTATCATTAACAGCTGTCAGTAGTAACGGTAACATTGTCTCTAAACCAGGAAAACCTGGAGGTGGTTTGGAACTGTTCTTCTCTTCCACTGCATGTGGAGCTGTAACAAGTTATATATGTTAAAAACTGTTTTCAAGTTTTTTACCAGTTGATATCAAGCCCAACTTATTGACATTTAAATTTCAATGTACCTGCCATAAAAAGTATTTTACTGGTTCTCAGGGAGTTTTCTTGGTAAAAATTGTCAACTTGCTAATTCTTAGCTCCAGTCATTATTTATAAATAGTAATGAAATGGAATATTGACACAAATTAATAAAGTACAGAATATTCCTACCATGATCAGTTGCAAAACAATCAATTATATCCATATTGTCCCATAATGCTTGTTGATCTTCTTTCCTTACTAAAGGCGGTTTAACCTGACCTCTTTCTTGACCAATTCTATCAAGGTCATCTGCTGTCAAAAATAAATGATGTGGGGCCACTTCACATGTTACAGAGAGTCCTTTTTCTTTTGCGGCACGGATCACTAGTATCTGAAAATTACAGATTTTATTTTTAGAAGTTGGTTGACAGGATTCTTTCCATATAAACTCAATGACATTACTAATAATATAAATATGAAAATTATGTTATACAAAGAGATTTAATCATAAAATGAAATGAAATGGGGTTTAATGTTCTACTATTCTGCTTCAACTGGGCTAATGAAGACAGGCATACGTCATAATGTTCTATGAGGGAAATTTTTCCCGGGTAGTGGCACTGTGGCCTACTCCTGTTTCGAATTTCAACTGCCAAGAGATCTTTTACATACACGCTAATGTGTACACGGGACGTTTTTTATTTCGTACCATGCTAACGACTAGACAGCTGTCCTTATCAGGCCCTCCATCCTACACAACTGAAAAAATTGTGACCTCTAGAGGGACCACAAGCTAACCAGCGGCTGCCAGGCAGGATAGGCCAACATTTTGCAAAAGATGGATAGAGAACAAGCTAAACAAAAAGCAATTTTTCGTAACATCAAGAGCCATAATTCAGGAAGATACGATCAGATATGCGCAAATATCAACAGGAACCAAGATCTTTAGGTTATAAACATGCATTCCGAGTTTCATTAAAATCAGATCAAAATTATGACCTCTAGAGGGTCCACAACCTTGATATACCAAATGTTTACACTATTTACGAAGTGCGGCCATTTTGTCTGGCAGTTTTCGTCAAGATTTTTACGAAATTCAAACTCAACAAACATTACGGTGTAAAGGTGATATATTTGAACGTTTTTGTACATTAGATAATAATTGTGACCTCTAGAGGGACCACAAGCTAAAAACGCGATTTTTCGTACAATCAGTGGCCAAAATTCAGGAAGTTACGATCCGATATGCGCAAATATCGACAGTAACAAGATCTTTGGGTTATAAACATGCATTTCAAGTTCCATCAAAATCGGATCAAAATTGTGACCTCTAAAGGGTACACAACCTTGATATACCATATGTTTACACTATTTGCGTAGATGGGCGGCCATTTTGTCCGGCAGTTTTGGTCCGATTTTCATGAAATTCGAACTCAACCAACAATATGATGCAACGGTGACATATTTTTTATATTTTTTATAAAGTGAACAAAATACAAGCCACTAACCTCTTCCAATCTTGCTACATGACAAATATGTACAGGTCGTTTGAATAAATCTGCTAATAATATAACAGCTGCTGTAGTTGTTCCTTCTGCATGACAACATATTGGTAGATTCTTTGGCCAATGTTCAAAGTGCTGAAAAACAGAAACAAACATTGAAGAATACATAAGAATAAATTAAATTTTATAGTAGATATTTGAAGTATACAACAGGATTATCACATAAAGTCTGATATGAATGAAATTAATAATATATTGGGCTTAATGCTTTATAAAGTGAATGCTACAAACTTCAACTAGAGCATCACTAACTCTGCAACATATTCAGCTTTCATTGATATGGTACTTTTTAAAATGAAGAAAGAAGGCTAGGCGTTGGGTTTGTTTTACCAGATTTAGAGACTAAATATCAACAAAAAAGTGGGTGTGACACCGCCCCTGGGGATCGGGGCATGCACCAAAATAAATAGTTGCTGTCTTTACGGTATAAGGAATACATATGCAAAGTTCCAAAATGATCCATACATATGAAAAAAAATCTGTTAATTATAGCTAACCTGAAGAGTATTTACAGAAAAAAAATTACCAAAAAGTAGGGATGGTACCACATCCCTGGGTGTCAGGACATATACCAAAATCAATAGTTGCTGTCCTTAGGGTATAAGTTATAAGTATACCAAGTTCCAAGATAATCCATTCAGAATTGCGGCCTGTATACGATAAACACAAAAATTGGGCGTGGCTCTGCCCCTTGGGGTCATGAATTGCACCAAACTCAATAGTTGCCATCCTAAGGCTATAAGGAATATATATGCGATCCATTAAGAATTGTGGCCTGTAGTCAACACAGACACATAAAGAAAAATTGGTTGTGGCTCTTTCCCTGGGGTCGGGCATTCACCAACAAACAATAGGGATCATCCTTAGGGTATAAGGAATAGGTATGCACAGTTTTAAAGGGATCTGTTAAGAATTGCATCCTGTAGAAAAAACACAGCCACACACAAAAATTGGGCATGGCTCGGTTCCCGGTGGTTGGGCATGCACCGAAAATTATAGAGGTCATCCTTAGGGTATAAGGAATAAGTATGAAATGTTTTCAAGACAATCGATTAAGAATTGAGGCCTGTAGGCAACACAGACACACAAAAAGAAAATGGGCGTGGCTCTGCCCCTGAGGGTTGGGCATACACCACAAACAATAGGGATGTTCCTTAAGGTATAAGGAATAAGTATGCAAAGTTTCAAGATGAGAGAGAGAGAGAAATGGGGTTTAACGTCTACTCGATACAAACTAGGTCATTTAGGGACTAACATATGGTTTAATTTCATTTCAATTATTCGCTTGCGCATAGGAGTCTTTAGCAGTGGGAGGAAACCGGAGGACCCGGAGAAAACCCACAAGGTTGGACAGGTGACCCTTCTCCTTGTCAAATACAACCAGGGATTCGAAACCATGCCAGTTGACTCAATGACAGGCTTTATGATACAGCGCACACATGCTAACCATTCGGCCATCCAACACCCCCAGTTTCAAGATAATACATTAAGAATAAGAAATGCAGCCTGTAGACGACAAACAAACAAATACAAGAAATGGATGTGGCTCTGCCCCTGGGGGTCAGGCATGCACCAAAAATAGGGATCATTCTTAGGGTATAAGGAATAAGTATGTAAAGTTTCAAGACGATCAGTTAAGAACTGCAACCTGTAGGCGACACACACGGAAATGGGGGACAGCAATGTAAGTCAACATTATGAATGTGGACGTATAAAAATGGAAGATTTAACAATGGAGATTTATATTTTCATGTTATATAAAGTAGTTGAATGAATCCACCAAGTATACTTCCGTTACAGATTTGTTGTACCATGTTGGTGATGACGGGATGTAAGCCTAAATCACCTTCTTTAATTAAGGGCTCCTGCTGGGGTTCATCCCAAGATGTCAACAGAAGAATAAAAATAAGAATATTAATTACCTTCATCCACACAGCAATACTATCTAATTTCAATGTTGTGAAAGTATCGTTGAGGTACATCTTTAAAGCAATGGCTTTAGAACCAATTTGGGGTAACGTCTGAAAATTATCAGAACTAGCACCAACATAAATACCATAATCACATCGAGCACCCTGGGTGGCACACTGGAAAATATACAACACATACAATATATTTAGTCATAATAGAATGCAACAAATTTTAGTGAAAAACAATCATCTGATTTCCATTAATTAAGACCTCTTGGGTATCTGTCACTCGTCCCCTTCTTTCAAGTAACTGATGCAAAAATGAAATGAAAATAAAATGAAATGGGGTTTAACGTCCTACTGTTTTGCTCCGAACTGGGCTAATGAAGACGGGCATACGCCATACAGTGTGCTATGAGGGAAATTTTGCCCGGACAGCGGCACTACGGCCTACTCTTATATCGAATTCCAACTGTCAAGGGATCTTTTACGTGCACGCCAATGTGTACACGGGACCTCGGTTTTTCGTCCCATCCGAACGACTAGACAGCTTTCCTTGTCAGCCCCTCCATCCTGCATCACTGACAAGGGAGAACCACACCGGAAAATCTGGATGAACTTTCTCGGCCAATGCAGGGATCGAACACCTCCAGGCTAGCGAGCCAGCGTCTTAGCCACCGTGATTCCCAAGTAACTGATGCATAATCATACAATAATTCTTATTACTTAAAGGTAGACAGACATTTAACTGCTTACAACATCTTATTAGATTTATTTATTGTACCTTTTTGGTAACATTAAAGGCTGTTTGGTCAACTGTTGGTGGATTTGTATTAGGCATAGCTAATATAAGAGTTACTCCCCCTGCTAAGGCAGCAGCTGTAGCAGATGCCCAATCTTCTTTATGAGTTGCTCCTGGTTCCCGCACATGTACATGAACATCTATCAAACCTGTATATAAATATGTACATTCATGTACTTTCATAAATTGCAACATCATGAATCAATTAAAATCTAATTTTGATTATACAAAATTCTCAATAATTTCAAGAGTTTTAAAGTGTGTTCATAATACCTCAATGTCCCAGCCATTGTATGGGTAAATTGTTTTTCAAGTGTGGCACTTTACAAAGAATATAACATAGATAACAAGCACAAGTAAAACAAAATTATAGACATACACAAACTTGACCATACACAAAATATAACATAAATTTAATTTTGATAATTAATTAAAAAATATCCTGTTAATATAAACATTTCTTGAAAGTTGATACATTGAGGCTATTCTGTTGGTTTTTGTTATTTTATTCCACTCTTTTGGCCCAGCGTAAGAGAATGCTGTTTCTCCAAGTTTAGATTTATGAACAGTACAAACTAGCTGATTACTATTTGATGAACATGAAGTTTTACCTTGAACATATTGTGTTAATAAATCAGGCAAATAAGCTGGTGCAGAGAAGTTGTTGATACAGTTAAAAGTTAAGGCATTTATCTTAAAATTGAAACTGTGTTTAATTAGTAGCCAGTGTAGATCTTTTAAAACAAGTGTAACATGTTCAGATAGTTTAGTCCTAGTCACAATTCTGGCAGCCTTATTCTGAATAGACAAATAATATCAGAAAAGAAATTAATGACTTCGGGAAAAAATGTACATAAAACAAGTGCGTATTTGGAAAAGTAAAGTAGAAAACTCCTGTACCTGGTAATCTAACAACTTTCTGTGATGAGATACAGTCTATATGTGTTTTAACAGCAGGTGGTCCTTTTAACATACGCAAAGCCTGAAATGAACATCATATATTATATATCAAATCTAATTCAAAACAATTAACTTGTTAAGACTAACAAACTGTCATGTTATAGGTATTTTGGACCCTAGTTCTATACCAATATATCAATGATCATCTATTTATAAAAGTACAATATTTCTATAAGGAAAACAACCTCAGGAAAATAATTAGTTCCAACTAAAGATACTAACCTCAACAAACATTTTAACACATTTGACATCGGTTATGAGTGGTACAGAATAGTCTACTGCCATTCTTCTTGTCTTGTAACCCTGAGTTACAAAAGTCGAGGCACGATGTGACCCACCATTACGTAGTGGCAGATTAATAACAAGATCAAACATATTCTCGGCTAAATAATCAGCTATTGTTCTTTGTTCCCCACCATTTCTACCTTGTTGATCTGTGTCTTCATATGGCCAATCAACAGCTTTTATCTAAATAAAAATGCTTAGAAATCATTTAAAGCCCAAACGTGCCAAAATACAGCTTAGATATAGAGTTTCAGACCATACGCAATCAAAGGTACTTTTTAATAAAGATTTTAATCAACCTATTTTAAGTTACTTTTTGGCCAATGTAAGTTTTACATTGATTTCTCACAGCCATTTTAAGCTCTCTTAGACAAATATAGTAATGATAATGGTTCCATACACAAAGATATGATGAATTCAAAATTTGACAAAAGGATATGGTCACAACAAGCCAGCGTCGCCTTAAATCTTTTGAATCGAGGCCGGGATATTATATACCATCAATATTTTGATTTTGTTTTCTTAATCAAATGCTAAATAATCTTAGTACATATTAGCATGGATTAACACGTGAAAACTGAAACATTGTCTGAAAAATACCAATGACAGGGTGACCCACCATAAATAAATATCTCCATATATCTCGACAATTACGCCACAATATTTATATATATGCCAAGCCTAAAATCAGTTTCACACAATTATAGTCACTAAATAAACGATCATGTTGTACTTAATAAGCTATGACCATTAATCATCTATAAATAATAGACTTAAACTGGTTCCAAGAGTCGTCCATAACATCCAGACACTTTTGAGTAAAAGATAGGTTACGTGCCCTTGTTTTGAAATTAGTCTCACTTAACCAGTCTATCGACCATTCTACGTCTGATTGACAGGTCGGGATAATCAAGACTACTTTTTTACGAAACATAACAGAAAGCTAGAACAAGAAATTGAATTTAGAAATAAGCACGTTAGGTAGATCAACAATCGTTTTAAGAAGCTTGTAAAAGTAAAATGAAACTATTGCTAGTATCATGTTCCTGTCTAACCCGAGTGATTCAGAGATATTATTTGTACTAAACCAAAAGATGCCGCTCTGAACGGTACAGTTAATGATAAAGCGATTTAAAAAATGAAACGAACGTAATTTCTAAATCTGCTGTAATAACCAAGAAGCTTAATTTTACTGCTATTCAAAATCGTCAACAATAAATTTTTTACGGCTGTAATAGTTGATAGATTTGTAGAGAATTGCACGTGCCATGGCTATTTATAGTATCATACTGTCAGAAAGTTGGTCTCGGCACGGCGAATGTGCACGCTTCAGTGGTAGTCTCGAACTATCAGCGGTGGACTGTATTTCTGTGAGTACATGGGTCACCCTACCAATGATGATCAGCAGCTCTACGTTATCTTCATCTTCCATGCTTGCCCATGTATAGCTGTTCACTTATTGTGTGGAATATGTCAAATGATTTTATACAATATGTTAAACTGAAATAATAGAATATATTTTGTTACTGTACCTTCAATCCATGTTCATTGTAGAAATCAGCTGTCCCCATACTAGCAAACAATTCATATCCCAAATCTATTAATGTTTTAATTGTTGGTAATAATTCATTTTTATACTGAAATAAAAGATGATCAGCTAACTTATTAAGACACATGAACATATTCCAGCCATTACTGGTTTGGACAAATCTTTGATCATTAATCTTTAAGCAAAAAAAGTCAGGTAATTGTTAATTTGGACCATTTACAAGCATCGACAAGCCAACAGTGAGGCTGGTGTCCCCCGCCAAAATGCCAAAATAAATAGATGACACATATTAATTAATAGCACATCAAGTTTAAACATTCTACCTCAATTAAAAGCAGAGTTGTTATGTTCCAAAGTCTTGACCAATCAAATTGCTTATCGCTCTGCTTACCCGGAGCACAAAATGCTCATTATCGAACTTAGTCAAGGTATTGATGTAATGAAACTATATACCAAATTTCATCATTCTCATTTAATAAGAACTAAAGTTATTGTGTAACAAAACATCAACCAATCAAATTGCTTATCTCTGCTTATCCTAAGCAGAAAATGCTCATCTTCGAACTCCATTAAGGCATTGACCTAATTAACACCTACACCAAGTTTGAAAATTCTAGCTCAATTGTTATCGTGTAACAAAGCATCAACCAATCAATTTGTTTATCTGTGCTTACCCTAAACAGAAAATGCTCATCTTCGAACTCCATCAAGGCATTGACCTAATAAACACCTTCACCAAGTATGAACATTCTAGCTCAATTAGGAGAGTTATTGTGTCCCAAAAAGTGTGACGGACAGACGGACAAACCCATTTTAATAGTTCCCTGCTTTCTTCGAAAGGCGGGGGACAAAAAAAGGCTTGTGTTGAAAAATTTCTTTCAACTATCACTTATCTGAAACTTTCCAAAATCAAACATAATATAGTTTACCTTAAAACTTCCAATAGATATAAGAATGTTTTTATGTGGTATCTTAAATCCAGTGCTAAGTTGTGCTTTAAGATAAGCTTCATATCTATTCTCTCCAAACCCTGCCACTTCACCAGTACTGGCCATTTCTACACCTAGTAGTACATCAGCTCCATGTAGGCGGGAAAATGAGAAAACTGGTACCTAACCATACAATGAAATATAAATCAGCAATCATTTAGATATTAAACTTTATTACAGAAATTGTACATCATAATTGTCAAAGCATAAGGCTCAATCCCAAAATAAATAGATGACACCCATTCATTATTAATGACTTGTACATTTATCTTTTTTATAAAGCACTATGCAATCAAAATGTTTATCATTATGAATAACCTAAGCAGAAAATGCTTATGATCAAACTTAGTAAAGGTACTGATATTATGAACTCGAGAGAGAGAGAGAGAGAGAGAGAGAGAGAGAGATGGGGTTTAACCTCCACTCACCACAAACTAGGTCATTTCGGGACTAACATATGGTTTAATTTTTTTTATTTCAATAATTCATGTGTGCGTAGGGGTCTTTAGCAGTGGGGGGAAACCGGAGGACCCGGAAAAGACTCACGAGGTTGGACAGGTGACCCTACTCCTTGTCACGTACAACCAGGGAATCGAAACCCCGCCAGTTGACTCAATGACAGAACGTATGATACAGCGCGCGCGTACTAACCATTCGGCCATCCAATCCCCCTGAAACTCGACACAAATTTACAGCATTCCCTTTCAGTTACTGCCTAAACCATCCCACAGAACCTTTCTATAAAAATAACAAAACTAATAGACATTATCTTAAGCAATACAAAAATAATATTCTGGTTCTCAAACAATCCTGCGAAGGGGAGGTTTTTATTTTTGTGTTTTATTTTGTCAAGGGATAACATCAAGACACTACTTTTATTTCATCATGTTATTTATGATTATCCAGTATCATTTACAATTGTCAGTAATATTTATCAGGGTTTCATACTTGTTAAATGAGCCTACAGTACATTTCTGGATTCATTCAAATGTTTCTGTAACTAGGTTAAAATATTTACATGCGGTAATTGGTGAGACTGCCATTTTTAAGTGAAGTGGGATTACCTGAGAACCAGAATATTTTTTTTATATGGCCTTACCTTTACTGCGACTCTACCACATCCATATATAACATTGGTAGGTTCAACAATTTCTCCCATAATAACTCTAGTAGCTGTAGCTATAAAATCATGATCTAAAGCTTTTGATACAAATGGGAATGACCTTGACACACGCACATTACATTCTATTACTTTTAGTTGATTATCCTGAAAATTGGTTGAATTATTGAAATATACATAAAAACAAAACTCAATACATATTTAAAAAATTTAAGAAAACTACAGGTTGTAAAAGTTTTGTAAATATCAAAGATAGGTTGCCAGGCAACGAAACATATGCCCACAGCAGCTAAATCTTCTTGAGCGGTCGACAAGGGTCATCGCATATTTATTCCTTTGTAGGTAATTGCGGGTCTTTACAAGACAGTTCCATACAGATCAGATTATAAATTTTGTCGTTTGAGGGTTCACATGGTTTTACAAACTGAAACAAGGGTCTCAACTCTGGATGTAATCTACAGAAATTTTTTAAATTTGACAAGCTTTTGCGTTAGAGCATTCCCAAGGTGCAACAAAGTGAAACAAGGGCCATAACTCTAGAAGTGTAATGAACAGAAATTTTTGAAATTAAATAGACTTCTTCATCTCACTAATATAAACCACATAAAACAATCGGATAATAACTTTTTGTGGTAGGGCGTTCACAAGAAATTGTGGTTGACGGACGGACGGACAAGGGCGAGGCAATATACGTCCACATTTCCATGTGGGCGTATAAAAACTGCTTATCCCTTCTTATCCTAAACAGAATTTGTTCATCGTCGAACTCAGTCAAGACATCCCCATAATGAACATCCAAGTTTGAAATTCTATTGCAATGAGAAGCAGAGTTATTGTATTAAAAAAAAGTGTGACGAACAGACAAACAGACGGACAGTTTTGCTCAAGTAGAAAATATTCATCATCAAACTCAGACAAAACATTCACCTGACAAATTCTGTATGCATTTAAAAGTTCTATTCATTTAAAATTGACTTAAAATGCACCAAAATATTGACCACTCTACTAGCTCAAGCTGCTGTTTGTCAGCTCCATACCGGTTTCTGGTTTGAAATAAATCTCGCTAAATCAATCTAATGACTCTTTGCCAGCTGTTCGTCAGCCATTTTATATGAAACAGTGGAGACATGAAAGATGCAACCAGCATACTTAATAGTAAGAGCAAAAGAACTGAACCAAACACAACAGAATCCTGTAAGATATATGAATAGCGCAAGCATAAAACATAAATAACATTAAATCAAGATAGTGGATCTAGGGACCGTTCAACTTAGCAAATTGAAAAAGAAACCCAAAGTGTTTTCATAAAGTTGTTGTTTTCACAACTGACAATCTAAATATTGCAGAAATTCATTCTCTTTAACGATAATGTTCAAGGATTTTTTCATCTATTAATAAATGTATAGAGAATATTATGTTCATGGCTTTTCATACGTGAATATTAGCTATCGACTATGAATGCACTTGCACTGGAGCTATTACGTAATGTAATCACTTTACAAATCGTCATTTGAGGTTCAAGTTTAAAGTCCACATAAGATGGACTAGGGAAATTTCCGGTACATGTAGCCAATGGTTACTATATCCACATTACGGCAAGTTCACACTAATATGATTGAAATTAGTTCAGCTATCTTCACTCAAAGTCGCAAAAATAGACCTCCCGTAAAAATGACTTTGCCAATTATCGAAAACAATCTTAATCCCCTCAGACGCCAGTGACGTCACAGTGACCGAATGCATATTCGGAATGTTTATTCCTTAATTACCTCTATACAGCCGGCGTGTGCATTCATTAACGCCTCACTGATTCCTTAATCTCCTAATTAAATAAAACAATTGACTACGGAATAATTTGTTTTGTAATTTAGATTGTTTTATAATGTCCTCCCTCTCTTCTCACGACAGCGATTTTAATACTGTGTTTTAAAGTGACTTTTTGATAAGAGTCCCTTTACCATCATGTGCAGTCCTAACGATTCGAGATACATTTTCATTAGAAAGAGTATTTTGGTTGTAATTTCCAGAGAAAAAGAGTACAGGAGTAAAAAGATGTGGTCATGCAAAATGTATCATAAAAGTCAAACATGATTGAAACGCGATTTGTAAATGACGATCCGTTATCAGAGAAGCCAAATGTATCTCTTTTTCCTGTAGCCATCGTGCGGCGCCTTTCTTTCAGCATGCGGATTTGACTTCATTACTCTGAAATAGACCGTGAAAATGAAATACGGAAAAATATCTCAATATACTTTAGAATTAACAGTACAAATAAATTTGTTGGTAACCATCTAAATGGAATAACAGATTTAGAAGGGTCATCTAACTATCTTTGTGCATTAATAATATGGCAAGTGTAGTGATGTTAATATATCCTTAATTAATCAATCCGACTAAAGTTGCACAGACATGGGGTCATAAATTAATTAACACCTCGATGATTAGGTAATTGTCTTTTTTTCACGCCGGCCAGATCAAAGACATAACTCTAGGTGGAACGTGTGCGTAATACCCGACGAACGAACTAATTGTAGAATCGTACACACGTTAATTGTATAAAATAATTAATTACGTTTTACTCATCAGTTACTTATAATTACTATTTACCCAATAATCAATAAGCTTTGCTCACCGATGTTTTTGTAATAAAGTAGCCTCGTATTATTTGTTGATTGGCGTTTAAACAACATTTAATTGACTTGATATGAAATCTGAATATAAATTATTCGATGGATAAACATTTGTGATAAGATAAGGTTATAATGTCTAACATTGTTTAACTTCTTTAAAATAAAGGTATTTTACAATTACATTGACAATTTAATCACTCACCAAATGGCATCAGGAGCACCACGTATGATCAAGTGTATTTGATATTCATGTCCATGAATCCAATGCAATTTTCGCTAAAGTTTAACCTCAGTTACTACGCCCGTAGTATGCATGGAAACGTACATGGTAATAAGATTCTTAGCGTTGATTGGCTAGGGCGATCTATTGTTATGCATAGTCATCGAAAAATTCCATATTTGCTGTGAATTTCAAATGAGTTAAGATAAAAGTTGTTCTTTGTGTATAGAAATGGTTATTATTATTATATAGCTAATAATGAATATATCGACAAATGACTGGCACCATTTGTATATCTGTACTTATAGAGAATAGTTTGGGATATCAAGTATTACAGGGTATCCAAATTATCAGTAAATGCGTGAATTGCTTGGGTCATCTTCATTTGTCATGTGGCCTATTTAAACAAAGGATGCTTAAATGGATCTACGGCTTGATACAGCATTTTAAATTCATTCTAAAATATTCAATCTTTAACAATGTAAGACAATAATCTGTGATTATGATTAGGCCAGTCAACTGGTGGTGTGTATAGACAGTGATATATTGTACAGACAGTGATATATTGTATAAATAATGTATATACTATGTGTAGTACCTGTGACGTTACCAGCCAATCAACCGGATTAAGGTCGTAATTGAAAAATTGAAAAGCGTTTTGGCTTGTCGGATACTTAAACGTTAACAGCCGAAACAACTTTGATCAGATGAGTGTAAACTTGCCGTAAATTAGATATAGTAACCATTGGCTATACGTACATGAAATTTCGATTTTTCACCTTATGTGGTCTTTAAGTATGTTTGGCACCCTATATGACAAATATAGAGTTTGCACTTTCAAAGTGGTACTAACCTTAGCAATAAGTTGTATATTCATTGGTCCTGTAACTTCTAGTGCTCTAGCTATAACACAACATATAGCTTTTATTTTACCCAATGTTTCTTCATTTAAATCTTGAGGTGGTGTGACAAGTGTAGCATCGCCAGAATGTACTCCAGCATTTTCTACATGTTCTGATACAGCTACACAAACTACTTCCCCATCACACGCTACAGCATCTACATCTATTTCCTATTAATTAAAACATCATACAATTGTTCTACAGATACTGATTTCAAATCATGTTAATATACAATCCCGTCCATAATCCACATAAGTATCAAGTCCAGAAGAAATCCTCAATATAAAGTATGTCAGAAAGTTCAGCAGTTAAAAAGCAACTATTTGAATAAATAAAGTATATACAAGTTATTTCAGGCATAAGGCCAATATTTCTGAAAACAAGCCAACAGTGAGGCTGATGTCCCCAGCCAAAATCAAACAAGCCAACAGTGAGGCTGATGTCCCCCGCCGAAATAGGAAAATAATTAGAGGACACATATAAATTTATCACAAATTATCTTTTACAAAGTATTGAACAATCAAACAGTATATCTTTACTTATAGTCTAACAATCAAAGTAGGAGAGTTATTGTTTTCCAAAGTCTCGACCAATCAAATTGCGTATCGCTCTGCTTACCCTGAGCAGAAAATGCTCATTATCAAACTTAGTCAAGGTATTACTGTAATGAAACTATACACCAAGTTTCATCAATCTCACTTAATTAGAACTAAAGTTATCGTGTCCCAAAGCATCAACCAATCAAATTGCTTATCTCTGCTTACCCTAAGCGGAAAATGCTCATCTTCGAACTCCATCAAGGCATTGACCTAATCAACACATACACCAAGTTTGAACATTCTAGCTCAATTAGGAAGAGAGTTATCGTGCCCCAAAGTATCAACCAATCAAATTGCTTATCTCTGCTTACCCTAAGCGGAAAATGCTCATCTTCGAACTCCATCAAGGCATTGACCTAATAAACACATACACCAAGTTTGAACATTCTAGCTCAATTAAAAGTTATCGTGTCCCAAAGCATCAACCAATCAAATTGCTTATCTCTGCTTACCCTAAGCGGAAAATGCTCATCTTCGAACTCCATCAAGGCATTGACCTAATCAACACATACACCAAGTTTGAACATTCTAGCCCAATTAGGAAGAGAGTTATCGTGTCCCAAAGCATCAACCAATCAAATTGCTTATCTCTGCTTACCCTAAGCGGAAAATGCTCATCTTCGAACTCCATCAAGGCATTGACCTAATAAACACATACACCAAGTTTGAACATTCTAGCTCAATTAGGAAGAGAGTTATTGTGTCCCAAAAAGTGTGACGGACAGACAGACGGACAGACAGACAGACGGACGAACCCATTTTAATAGTCCCCTGCTTTCTTCGAAAGGCGGGGGACAAAAAAACAAGCCAACAGTGAGGCTGATGTCCCCCGCCGAAATCCAAAAATAAATAGATGACACATATTTATTAATCGCACATTTATTTTTTTCAAAAGTATCGAGCAATCAAACTATACACTAAGTTTCAGCACTCTCCATCAGATAGAATCAAAGTTATCTTGTCCCAAAGCATCGACTAATGTAAATCATTGAACTCAGCCATGACATGACAGCAGAGAATATTCATTATCGAACTAAGTCAAGGTATTGATGTAATAAAGCTATACACCAAGTGTCCTCACTCTCACTTAATTCGAACTAAAGTTATCGTGTCCCAAAGCATCAACCAATCAAATTGCTTATCCCTGCTTACTCTAAGCAGAAAATTCTCATCTTCAATCTCCATCAAGGCATTCACCTATCAGACACCTACGCCAAGTGTGAACATTCTAACTCAACTAGAATGAGAGTTATTGTGTTCCAAAATCTTGACCAATCAAATTGCTTATCTCTGCTTAACCTAAGCACAAAATGCTCATGTTCGAACTCCATCAAGACATTGACCTAATTAACACCTACACCAAGTTTGAACATTCTACCTCACTTAGAAGGGGAGTTATTGTGTTCCAAAGTCTTGGCCAATCAAATTGCTTATCGCTCTGCTTACCCTAAGCAGAAAATGCTCATTATCGAACTTAGTCAAGGTATTGATGTAATGAAGCTATACACCAAGTTTCATCACTCTCACTTAATTAGAACTAAAGTTATCGTGTCCCAAAGCATCAACCAATCAAATTGCTTATCTCTGCTTACACTAAGCAGAAAATGCTCATCTTTGAACTCCATCAAGGCATTGACCTAATAAACACCTACACCAAGTTTGAACATTCTGGCTCAGTTAGAGAGAGTTATTGTGTCCCAAAAAGTGTGACGGACGGACAGACACACCGATTTTAATAGTCCCCTGCTTTCTTCGAAAGGCGGGGGACAAAAATACAAATATTATATAATAAAGAAGTTAAATAACATTTGCAGGAAAACGGAATATGAAAATCGATTCCCTCCTTCCACTACTTATTTATGAGGGCTATCCAGTTATATATCAGCTAAATTGCGATAAAATAATATTTTATATCAATAATTATTATAGCTTGTGCCATCGTGTATTCTATGCCGTTGATTGTGTGTCAACCGAATAATTATTATCTAGTTTATATGCTAAAAACTGTATCACCAAAGGGGGATAATTTAGATAACAAGGTATTACTGTAATGAAACTATACACCAAGTTTCATCAATCTCACTTAATTAGAACTAAAGTTATCGTGTCCCAAAGCATCAACCAATCAAATTGTTTATCTCTGCTTACCCTAAGCGGAAAATGCTCATCTTCGAACTCCATCAAGGCATTGACCTAATCAACACATACACCAAGTTTGAACATTCTAGCTCAATTAGGAAGAGAGTTATCGTGCCCCAAAGTATCAACCAATCAAATTGCTTATCTCTGCTTACTCTAAGCGGAAAATGCTCATCTTCGAACTCCATCAAGGCATTGACCTAATAAACACATACACCAAGTTTGAACATTCTAGCTCAATTAAAAGTTATCGTGTCCCAAAGCATCAACCAATCAAATTGCTTATCTCTGCTTACCCTAAGCGGAAAATGCTCATCTTCGAACTCCATCAAGGCATTGACCTAATCAACACATACACCAAGTTTGAACATTCTAGCCCAATTAGGAAGAGAGTTATCGTGTCCCAAAGCATCAACCAATCAAATTGCTTATCTCTGCTTACCCTAAGCGGAAAATGCTCATCTTCGAACTCCATCAAGGCATTGACCTAATAAACACATACACCAAGTTTGAACATTCTAGCTCAATTAGGAAGAGAGTTATTGTGTCCCAAAAAGTGTGACGGACAGACAGACGGACAGACAGACAGACGGACAGACAGACGGACGGACGAACCCATTTTAATAGTCCCCTGCTTTCTTCGAAAGGCGGGGGACAAAAAGATGACACATAATTTGCACATTTATCTTTTTCAAGATTATCGAGTAATGAAACTGATTATCTATGCTTAGTCTAAGCATAAAATGTTCACTATCAAAGTCTGGTTTAGAAGTACCTGGTAGTGAGTAAAACTATACACTAAGTTTCATCACTCTCCATCAGTTAGAATCAAAGTAATCTTGTCCCAGAGCATGGACCAAAGAAATTGCTTAGCTCTGCTTAGCTTTAATGGGAAATATTAATCATTGAACTCAGTCAAGACATACGCCTAATGAACATCTATACCTCAATTAAAAGCAGAATTGTTATGTTCTAAAGTCTTGACCAATCAAATTGCTTATCGCTCTGCTTACCTTATGGTTTTCAAGACAATCGGTTAAGAATTGCAGCCTGTAGGCGACACACAAAAAGAAAATGGATGTGGCTCTGCCCCTGGGGATTGGGCATGCACTAGGGACGTTCCTTAGGGTATAAGGAATAAGTATGCAAAGTTTCAAGATGTTACGTTAAGAAATGCGGTGTGTAGATGACAAACAAACAAATACAAGAAATGGGCATTGTTCTGCCCCCTGGCATGCACCAAAAACAATAGGGATCATCCATAGGGTATAAGGAATAAGTATGTAAAGTTTCAAGTTGATCAGTTTATTATTGCGGCTTGTAGGCAACACACAGAGGGGCAACGGCAATATACGTCCACATTATGAATGTGGACCTATAAAAATGTTCATTCATCTTATGAGAGACTTACCTTCGCCTCTAAGATAAATTTGGATATAACAACAGGGTGTTCTTTAGATACAGCACTAGCTTGTGTTAAATAATTTTCTAAATCTTGATGTGTGTGAGCCACATTCATCGCAGCTCCACTTAATACATATGATGGACGGATCAAACATGGATATCCAACTTCATTGGCAAATTTTATAGCAGTCTGAAATTAAAAGCAAACTGATTTTAAATTACTTGACTAACTTACTACTTTCCAACTCAATTGTACTATGCCTCACAATCAACTAATTTGATATTAGGTGCCAACCTATGGAAGACCAAACAGCTCTTTATTCAATGTTCTTGATTCTTAGTCCTTAATTCATAGTCCTTAATTCAAATTTCTTCATTTGTTGTCATATTTCGATATTTGTCCACTAAACTTCACATTCCTATCTTAAAATCAATGTTTGTTTTACAAATCAGACATTTGTCATCAGTTTTGTAAATTTAGAAAATCAAAAAATTAGCTTACATTTACATTTCATCAGAGACCTACAACGATAAATGCCAATATAAAAATGTACCGAGATCTTTGGGAGATAAACCTATATTTCAAGCTTTCCCAAAACTGATTAAAAATTTGACCTGTAGAGTGTCCATAAACAAAATGTGAACAGACAATATATGTCCACTTGAAAATGTGGGTGTATAAAATCAAACTGTACCTCTATAGTAGTAAGTTCCTTCCATCGTGGTTGACTTATAGACATATTATCTAACATACGAGAAAACTTAAATCTGTTCTCAGCATTATCTATACTCTCTGGTGATGTTCCCAAAATCCTTGCCTAAAAACAAATGTCAAATTTTGATTTATGATATTGAAAATTTATTTACAATCTAAAAATTATTTTTGAAAACGAATTCGTAACTACACATTAATTATGGCATTTTATGAAATAGTTTTATGTCATAATGTTTATCTGTATATGATTACATTTAAAGCATATTATAAGAAACTCAAAATATACTTAAGATGACAGTGTAGAAAGACAAATCCAATACCTGTTGTCTGTGAAGTGACATGGCAATATTGTTTGGTAACTGCCCACCAACAGATAATATAATACCTTCAGGATTCTCTAAAACATATATATCCATTACAGTCTGAAATATATAACACAAAAACTTAGTAAATATTACTTTATTATCACTCAGGCACTAGGCGGTTCAGAAATAAATCATAACAAATAATAATAATACAGATCTTAATTAATTATAAGATTATTATTGACTGTTTAAGAATTTTTAGGTTTAATTGATCCATTCCCGCTCCTGTACATGATTATGTTTCCATTAGGTCCAAATCAATTGCTGACTTGGGTTGATCTTATATTTTGTTTCATTTTTTGGGGGGAGGGGAGGGGAGGGAATATTTTATTTCCAATTTGTTACATAAACTTTTGACAGCGGAACACAAAATTAGCTGGAGGGTATTGTATGAATACTATAGAAATGTAAGTGTACCTCAAATGAAATTTCATCAAAATAAAGTCTGTCACACATATCATAATCTGTGCTAACAGTTTCTGGATTATAATTAACCATTATAGTTTTATAGTTCAGCTGAAATAACAAAATCATAACATTAAATTAAGCCCAGGTAAAACTAATAATGAATGAAATGGGGGTTTAACCTCCTACTTTTCTGCTCCAACCAGGATACTTAAGATGGGCATAAGTGTGCTAAGAGGGATATTTTGCCCTGACTGGAAAGAGGGCATCCACGCCAGTAAATCCTTTCTAAGCCAACACAAGGATTGAAGTTGGGACTCCTCCAGTTCAGTGGGCCAGTGCCTTACTGAACCAATCCAGTTCCATAACATTAATTATAAAACATACTTTGATACATAATTTCAGAAGAGAGTAGATCTTTTCCAGTTTTTTGTTTCAATGTTTGTTTTAGAGAACAAGCGGTTGACATGCAAGATACGCCCACATTTTGCAATAGATGGACAGAGAACGAGCTAAAAAAAATAATGTGATTTTTTGTACAAACAGGGGCCATAATCTAGGAAGATATGGTCCGATATGCGCGAATATCGAAAGAAACCGAGATATTTGGGTTATGAACATACATTTCAAGTTTCATCAAAATCAGATAAAAATTATGACCTCTAGAGGGTCCACAACCTTCGTATTACATACTTTTACACAATTTTCGTACAAATAGCAGCTATTTTGTTGGGCAGTTTCATTTCGATTTTCCTGAAATTCGAATTCAACCTTCATTATCGTGGAATGGTTATATATTTAAACAGTTTTGAAATTCAATCTCAACCATCATTAGGGTGTAACGGTGATATATAAAAACGTTTTTTTAAATTGGATAAAAATTGTGACCTCAAGAGGGACCACAAGCTAAAAGCGTGATTTTTCGTAAAATCAGGGGCCATAATACAGAAAGTTACGATCCGATATGCGCGAATATTGAAAGGAACCAAGATCTTTGTGATATAAACATGCATTCCAAGTTTCATCAAAATTGGATGAAAATTGTGACCTCTAGAGGGTCCACAATCTTGATATACCATATTTTAGACTATTTGCGTAAAATGGGCGCCCATTTTGTACGGCAGTTTTGGTCCGATTTTCATGAAATTCGAACTCAACCAACAATATGGTGCAATTGTGACCTCTTGAGGGACCACAAGCTAAAAACGTGATTTTTCGTACAATCAGGGGCCATAATCCATGAAGTTTCAATACCATACATGCCAATATCGAAAGCAACCAAGATCTTCTGGAGATAAACCTATATTTCAAGTTTCGTCAAAATCAGATTAGAATTGTGACTTGTAGAGTGTCCACAAACAATTGTGGACGGACAGACAGACGGACAGGGGCGACGACAATATACGTGGACATGAAAAGGTGGATGTATAAAAATATCAATTCCTAGTTTTAAGGGACAGAAGTTACAGCCATTTAAAGTTTACAGTCTCAATTAGTTTCTACTCTTTCACTCTATGCTATTTTAAGTGTCTGTAACACTTTCAAACATATGATCTTTAATCACCAACAAGTGCATGACAAAATATAACCTAGTCTTCTAAGTTACTATTTAAACAACACTTTTCAGCTCTTATCATGGCAAATAAGACAAATTCTTTCTTTAGTCTGCAACTAAACAGTCTCACCCAGGAAACAGAATCATTAACAATGACTTTCCTGGATGACTGAATGTTAAAACTATGCACTTATTCACAGAAGAGAAATCTAGATTAAAAAATTACCCATAAAAATAATTTACCTTACGTAGTTCTCGGATGCAATTGACTGCACACCAATCAAACTCTACACTGCTTCCTATTCTATAAACACCTGACCCTAAAACCATCACATGACCTCCTGGGAAGTCTATATCATGTTGTTCACCATTATAAGTTAAATAAAGATAGTTTGTTGAGGCTGGCCATTCCCCAGCAACTGTATCTATTTGTTTTACAAATGGTATTATGTTAAAATCATGTCGGATTTTTCGAATAACCAATTCTGTACTGAAAGTAGAATATAAACAAGTCAACAGTGAGGCTGATATCCTTCGCCGAAATCCCAAAATAAACAAATAACAATAACATATACTTATTAATTGCACATTTATCTTTTTCAAAAACATCAAGTAATCAAACTGATTATCTATGCTTAGTCTAAGCATAAAATGTTCACGAATCAAACTTAGTCAGGTTTTGAAGTACCTGGTAATGAAACTATACACTAAGTTTCATCTCTCCCCATAACTTATAAGTTAGAATCAAAGTTATTTTGTCCCAAAGCATCAATCAACGAAATTGCTTCGATCTGCTTAGCTTTAATGGGAAATACTAATCATTGAACTCAGTCAAGACATTCGCCTAATGAATATCTATACCTAAATTAAAAGCAGAGTTGTTATGATCCAAAATCTTTACAAATCAAATTGCTTATCGATACTTAGCCTAATATACAAGTAGAAACTGCTTAGCCTTAGTAGAAAATGCGCATGATGGAACTTGGTTAAGGCATTCACCTAATAAACACCTACACCAATTTTGAACATTCCACCTAAATTAGATTTATTGTATTCCAAAGTCTCGACCAATCAGATTGAAGTCTCTACTAAGCAGAAAATGCTCAGCACCGAACTTTGTTAAGGTATTGATGTAATGAAACTATACACAAAATTTCACCACTATCATTCAATTAGAATCAAACCTGTCGAGCTCCAAAGTCTCGACCAATATTAAACTGCTTATTGTTCTGCTTGATGGGATGAAACCATACACCAAGTTTCATCACTCTCACTTAATCAGAACCAAAGTTATCATGTCCCAAAGCATCAAACAATCAAATTGCTTACCACTGCTTACCCTAAGCAGAAAATGCTCATCTTCGAACTTTGTCAAAAATTCACCTAATGAACGCCAACACCAAGTTTGAACATTCTACCTCAATTCGAAGGCCATTATTGTGTTCCAAAGAATCGACCAATCAAACTGCTTATTGCTCTGCTTACCCTGAACAGAAAATGCTCATTATTGAACTTAAGTCAAGGCATTGATGGAATGAAACTATATACCAAGTTTCATCATTCTCGCTTAATTAGAACTAAAGTTATCGTGTCCCAAAGCATCAACCAATCAACTTGTTTATCAACCCATCAAACTGCTTATCTCTGCTTACCCTAAGCAGAAGATGCTCATCCCTCGAACTCCATCAAGGCATTCACCTAATAAACACTAACACCAAGTTTGAATATTCTAGCTCAATTAGGAGGAAAGAGTGTGACAGACGGACAGATCCATTTTAATAGTCCCCTGCTTTCTTCGAAAGGAGGGGGACAATAAACATGAGTGAGGATTTATCGAGAATATAGAGACATTTTGTTCTACAAGAAAAAAACTTAACCAAAGCAGATCTTGTACATTCAATATCAATTTATATGCAGAGGATCCATGGATGAGTTTTTCAGGGTGTTCTCATGAAAAATGAAGGTCTCATTTGTAAGTGACACTTATCTTCATCCGGCAATACAGATGCCTGGCTATATCGTATCAGAAGATCTCATTTCAGAGAAACGTACTGAAGACATTAATTCAGTACTTGATCCTTCAAGTCGTCTATACCTACACTCTACAGCATTTCACATACCAATGATCTGATTTGTTATTGGTAGATGTCAAACCTATGAGCTAACTGCGAAATACTTAATATATGGGCAGCATATATATATATATATACTATAGTGGGAAGTATCATGTGCATCTAAGTAAACAAAATTTTTAAAAAATATACCTTGAAACAGCTTTTGCTATTTGTATATCTGAAAATCCTAATTGTTTAGCTTTCAGGAAAATTTCTTGAGGAACTTTCTTTGGCTGAAATAAAGATAAACATAACACCTTGGAACTTAAATTTTGAAACAAAACTCATGATGACAATTAGATCCTCATTAGAAATGAAATGAAATGAAATGAAATGGGGTTTAATGTTCTACTGATCCTCATTAGATTGGGATTTATGAAATAAGAGTTTGGAACACAAGTGGGCTTACCTGTCGTTGATATTGTTCCAGAATTGTTATATGATCAGTGATATTTTTAAACTTATTTAAAAACCAGCGGTCAATAGCAGTTAATTCATACAATTTATCTACATTATAACCTTGTTTTAATGCTGCTGCCAGTACAAATATTCTTCTATCTGTAGGATGTTGTAACTCCTGAAACAAAATGTTCACAGTAAAATCTCTCTTAATAAACCCCTAATTTCCATAGATATTGTAAAAATTATATCATTCTGTATCTAAATGTCAAACTAAAATATGATTCCAATTTATTAAGGTCTTCAAATACCTTACCTAAAAAACTAGATCATTTAGATACCACACTTAACAAAAAAAGCTGGGTCATTAGATACCTTACCACAACTAGGAGACTCAACATAAGTAGGTCATTTAGATAGCTCACTTAACACAACTAGGTCATTAAGATAGCTCACTTAACACAACCAGGCCATTTAGGTACCTCATTTAACACAACTAGGTTATTTAGATACCTCACTCAACATAACCAAGTCATTTAGATACCTCACTTAACACAACTAGGTTATTTAGATACCTCACTCTACATAACTAAGAGAGAGAGAGAGGGGGGGGGTTAACGTCCACTTGACACAAACTAGGCCATTTCAGGACTAACATATTGTCATATTGTGGTATATTCTATATCATTGTGGTCTGAAACCTTATGTTTAAGCAGACACAAGTTGTCTCCCTTATGTTGTAGTTCTTCTGCCTTTTAGAGTAATAAAGATAGAGATTGGAATTCTAACATGGAGAATGGTTGATTTTTATTTTCACCCACATATAAATGTGTAACACCCCTGGATCCAAGGATCCGAATACAACATGGTGGAGATGCAAAACATCCTAAACTTATTGTGCTTCATATTTTGTATGTTTTTCACCAAACTATGGATTTAATCAGATTTTTGTGACAGTTTAAGAGTACCATGTGCTTTTCATATCTGTGCCATGTGCTTTCCATGTGCTTTCTTAGAATGGACTAAGCAATACCGCTTGACTTTACTGTATATCTTGAACTCTACTGATATTAGTCAACTGATGGAACTTTAATCAATCTAGTATCATTCTAATTTTGAGAATTTTCATTGTGCAGAGAATTACATTTACAATTTACTAAATGAATCACAGATGAGATCAGATTGAGATAGCCCTACATTGCCTACAATTATCCAAAGTCTGAAATTATTTTGGAGAGCCTAGTCTTGAAGACAGAATAATTTAAACCATGTTTATGTTCAACTTACATCATCATTACCTAATTTTCAATTCATACTATGATTTCGATCCAGTTTCCAGTTTTATGTGACTGTGAATGTAGTAATATTATTTAGTATTCTTGAGCAGGCAGTGTGGTGTAGATAATCCCAGAGAAGACCAATTATTGTAGATGTAGTATAGGCCTACCGACTTTTAATTCTAGCCTTAGACAGTCCAGTGACAATTATAACATAACATGCCAGTTTTTAGCTTCATACTGAATAGTATTTAATAGTAATAGTAACATTTTGAAATCTACAGTCTACAGTGATTTGATGCATATGCAGTTGCAGTGACATTTGTGCGATATTTTCCTATATAAATCATTTGTTCAATTATCGACATTCATTGAATATTATTGACTTGTGTTTTTTTTACCTGCTTGGTTATCGTTGTTAGGATATTGTATGATTGTATTGTATGATTGTGTTGGGTGAATGTGTTATTGTGTACAGTACTTGAATTTCCATTTTGTTAATTTGATATATTGTTTAGTAATTAGTTTTCTAACATTTTGTAAGCTTGATACATGTATATATATTGTTTCATAATTAATTTTGTGACATTTCATAAGTTCATTTTGTACAACTTTGAAATGGCTCAAGGTAAGCCCTTTAATGCTGATAAATTTGATGGGTCTATCCTAAGTAGGGATCTTGCTACAGCACATTATTTGACTTTCGTGGATTATTTAGAACATCATAATCATGATCAGAACCCTGTCAATGTTGCAGGAATTAATGTGATGGTTGGTCTCTTCAGGCAAACATTAAAAAGCAAAGCACGTCTATGGATAGAAGGTAAAGTGTTCCGAAGCTTGGCAGATCTCCGCACTCAGTTTATTGAGAGATTTTCTGATAATCGGACGCCCTTTGGTTTGCATAAGGATTACGCTTCATTTTGTTATGACGAAACTAAACCGCCCTCTGAAAATTTAGAGGAACTTCAGAGATTAGGAAGACAGTTGGACATAGCTGATGCACAACTGCGATACAAGTTTGTTTCCATTTTGCCATCATTATGTCAACAAGCTGTGGCAATGTCAATTAATGACAGGACTTCTATTTCTGACATAGCTCTCAAAGCTCAGTATTACTTTGACATTCACAAGAGTGACAGTAAAACTAAGGAAGTAACCTTTTTCACGGCAGAAAATGACAAGGATACTGAGATAGCACACTTAAAACAAGATTTAGCTGATCTTAAGCTAGAGCTGGAACGCCCATCACGACAATTTGCTTCAGGTTTTTCTTCTCCTCGGAGACGGTCATCTTCTCATCATTCTTCTTCCAATGATAATCGACGCATCGATCACTCAATCAGTCCTAAGGCACGCCATACCAATGAATTTCGACCTCATAGCCCTAGGCAAAATCGAAATTCTCATTTCTCAAGACATAACAACAGATCATATTATAACAGTCGATTTTCTTCAAGTCGTCAAGATTTTTCTCCAAATCACCGAGAATTTTCTCCAAGACGTCAAGATTTTTTTCAAAGTCATAGGAATCGTCAAATTGTCTGTGACTACTGTGGAAAGCCTAACCATACTTGGCGCTCTTGTTTCGTCAGAATCTTCCCAGGCCTAGGTCAACCAGAGATGTACGACGTTTTGTGGGCGCTGTCAATTATTTGTCAAACTTCTTGCCCAGTTTGCAATCCATATTGCAACCTCTACATAAGATATCCAATAAACGTTCGGTTTTCAAATGGTCAGAAGCTCAAGAAACAGCCTTCACTAAAGTAAAATCTTTGTTAGTAAAGCCACCCGTTTCATATATGCCTTCTGGCACCGGACGCTTAACCCTTTACAGCGATACATCTCGCTTGGCAACAGGATCTTACCTTACTCAAGTCATTCAAGGTCAAGAACGACTGTTAGGATTTTACTCAAAACGCTTACCAAAAGCTTGTGAAAGATATTCCGTTACTGAATTAGAGTTATTCGGATTACTCATAAATATTTCCAATTTCCAGTATTTATTACGTGGAGTAGAATTTGATGCATACATAGATCATGCAGCCATCATTCATCTATTTGATTCAAAACGTGCACCTTGTACAAATCGACTTCAGAAACTTTTAGTAAAACTCTCCCATTTTTCCTTCAAGATCGGTTACAAAAAGGGAAAGGAGCTAGTTCTCGCAGATTTTTTGTCTCGTAATCCCCTTGAGGATGATTCAGAGATAGATTCAGTAGTTCCTACAGCATTTACTTTAACAGAAAGACCTATAACTCGTCAGTGGGCAAAACAACAGAACATACCCATTCCAGATCTTAATTCCTCAAAACAAAAGTTATCTTCTTCATCTATGCTTACCAATCCTCCAGTTTCAGCAAATCAACAATCTCTTCATAATTTTCCCAGTGATTTTGAAGATAGATCCAATGATAGACAAGCCGTCTCTACATCAAAGTCTGGCAACAAGTCTCATACTATTCAACAATCAACTCAGCAAGAGTCTACTCCCTTGTCTTCTGTTTATGCACCACCTTCTACTTTTCCCAATGAACCTCGACTTGTTGACCGAATCCTTGACTCAGAGACACCCAATGTTGAAATACCTATTGAATTGTGCATGCCTCCTAGCCCAGTTGTTCATAATTCTGCACAGGTTGTTAAATCTCATTTTCCCAAACAGCGAGAGTTGGATAAATTACTTTCAATCATCAAGAGAAAAATGATACGAGATTACAATCTTCCTATTGATTGCAATCAACTGCGTATACAACAAGAGACATCACCATATTTTAAACCCATTTATGACTATTTATCTCACGGTATACTTCCTTCCAACCGTGCAGCGGCCAAATCGGTTAAGAATAAATCTGACGAATATATTCTCTATGATAATGTATTATTTCGTCTTATTATTCATAAGGATGAAACATTTAGTCTCCAGTTGGCAATTCCTGAATCGATGTGTTCTAATTTAATCAGTATTTACCATGATAATATTCTATCCAGTCATCAAGGTATTACCAGAACTTACCTCACCATGCGGAAACTTTTTTATTTTCCACAGATGTTTCACACCATAGCTAATTATATTAGCAGCTGCCATCCATGCCAACAGTTTAAACCGAAGTCAGACGATGTTCGTATTTTTCATCCACGAATACCTACCGAATTTCGAACTTTCGATAAACTTTGCTTAGATTTTAAATCCATGCCAGCTTCACCCAGTGGATTCAAACATTTAATGGTGATATGCGACGAAATAACTAGATTTATACTGTGTGTTCCATTGAAGTCTCTTGATGCGGAAACTATTTGTGAGGCTATCATCCAAAAGATCGTTTGCATTTTTGGCCCTCCTTCTGTATTAATTACAGATGCAGCATCCTCTTTGACAGGAAAATTGGTATCTATTCTTTGTTCTTCATTAGGAATAGATCACAAACTAATCAGTGTTGCAAACCATGGTAGCTTGTTGGTTGAGAGACATATTAAATCTGTATCTGACCTTCTCAAATTCAATCTAAATCAATTTGGTACGGATTGGGTCAGGTTTGTTTCTACCAGTTGTTATGCATATAATTCATTTGTTTCACCACAACTTGGAAATCATAGCCCATATCAGCTCGTTTTTGGAAAAGAACCCAAAAATCTTACTTCTCTCAACTGGAACTTTGACAAGAGTCTTTGTAAATCCTATTCGGATTATTTGTCACATTTGAAACAAAAGTTTGATTCTATGTCTTCTACTATTTTAGATTTGCAAAAACGCAAACAATTAAGTCAAAATGTTAGTATCTCACACAGTCTAAGTACAAATCCAGTTTATGGATTAGGACAGTTTGTTTATGTTCTGAAACCTTCCTCATCAGCTTTAACCTCTAAGTCAAAGAAAATCAAAGCTGAATGGTGCGGACCTTTGATTGTCCACCAGATTTTGGATCGCACACATTACATTTTAGCAACATTAGATGGTAGAGTTTTGCCTGATGTCTATTCCATTAATCGGCTTAAACCTTGTTTCATAAGAACTAATGAGCCAGTAAAGAGATTAACACATATTGACCAATTACGTAAACAATTAGGTAAATCTGTATCTAGCAATGATTCACCTGTATTGAATACTAAGGATAGTTTGTATCAGTTTACAGATGAAAATGGTTATAATTTACCTGAATTTAATAATAAGTTTATTACTTATGATAGATTTACTACTTCTGTTGATATTAATAGATGTATACCTAATCAAACTATTGCCTCTTTATCTATGTTATCACCTCCTCAAATGGAAGAACAACTCAACTACTTAACAGAAGTTGTGAATGATGACAATTTTATTGAAATCAAAAGAGCAAGATTTAAATTTGGTAAATTTCAATTGCTTGTCAAATTTAGCCCAAAACAACAACAAAGTTGTGAATGGATTAATATAGATCATAATGTTGAGTTTTGTAATATTGCTCATGAGTTAATTAATGAAAATACTCTTCAAGTAACTGGTAATCTCCGTAAATATCAAAGTAAATATTTTTAGAATTGTTCCTTACACAATGTGTTTAAGCTTGTATTGAAGGTAAACCTATTTTTGCTATTCATCATACACTCCTATATTATGATGAGACTCTTCATAGTTAAAATTAGATCATTATTGTTTATATGTATCTGATAGTTGGATAATTTGATATACACTTGTATGTTAAAGAGATAATATAGTATTAGGTTGGAGCAATACTTCTCAATCAAGTTTGTTTTATAGAGAACATTTCAAAATGGAGTTATCGTAGGATTTCTATGTATATTATAGATGACATGTAATTTTCATAATTTGTTTTGTTTTAATTAACATTCAATATTGTTCTTGTTTTACTACTTTCTCATTTTTGGTATCATATCGTATCATCCCTCATTTTTATTCTCATGTATATTTAAGCTTTTCTTATTTTTGTGTGATAGTGTGTGAATGTTTTTCCATTTATATCTCTTCTTTTCAAAAATTCCTATGGAATTTTGTTTTAACGCGGGGGGATGTCATATTGTGGTATATTCTATATCATTGTGGTCTGAAACCTTATGTTTAAGCAGACACAAGTTGTCTCCCTTATGTTGTAGTTCTTCTGCCTTTTAGAGTAATAAAGATAGAGATTGGAATTCTAACATGGAGAATGGTTGATTTTTATTTTCACCCACATATAAATGTGTAACACCCCTGGATCCAAGGATCCGAATACAACAATATGGTTTAATTTTATTTCAATAATTTGCTTGCTCGTAGGGGTCTTTAGCAGTGGGAGGTAACCGGAGGACCCGGAGAAAACCCACGTGGTTGGACAGGCGACCCTACTCCTTGTCACGTACAACGGGGGATTCGAAACCACGCCAGTTGACTCAATGACAGGCCTTATTATATAGTGCACGTGTGCTAACCATTTGGCCATCCACCCCCCCCCCATTTCATTTAAGACAACTAGATCATTGAGATACCCTACTTAACACTACTGGGTTATTGTCTTCATACATCATTAAATCATTTACAAGCATGCCTTTTCAGTGGCAGGAGAAACTGGGAAAAGCCCACTGGATTAGGCATTTGACCGTACTAACCAGATGTCAGACCTGTGAACCACCTTACAATGCTTTAGATCAATTAGGCACTCAACCACTTGAATCTGTAAATTTCTATAGAGTTTAAAGTTTTAATTCTATTTCTTTATATGCTTACATTTTCTGAAACTGATTGTATATGAGGATCAAATCCTGAAACATTTTCATCCATCATTCTGAGAGCTTTCTGGAATGCTTCTTCAAACTTTCTACCAATAGCCATTACTTCTCCAACACTCTTCATAGAACTTCCAATCTAGAAATATTTATTGTTAAATATTCATTTCATAAAACAAAATATAACACACACAAAATTATTCAGCATTAAATTTTTTTTTTAAGCATTTCAAAAACTTCTTTTTGATGTATTCTGAACATATTTGACAATTCTAAAAACAATATTGGGATTCAGCTGAAGGAGCAATAAAAAAATCTTTTAAGCTTTACCTTTGTTGAAACTCTTGAAAATTTCTTCAAATCCCAACGAGGTATCTTTACAACACAGTAATCTAAACTTGGTTCAAAACATGCAGTTGTTGAATTGGTTACAGAATTTTTAAGGCATGGTAGTGGAATGTTTAAGGCTAATTTTGCAGCAACATAAGCTAGTGGATACCCTGTAGCTTTACTAGCTAATGCAGAACTTCTTGATAATCTAGCATTAACTTCAATAATGAAATACTAAAAAACAAATAAATCAATTTTATACTACAGTAGACTCTAAAGGGAGGGACAGTACTCTGCAGAAAATTTGTAAAGCCTTAGGTTAATTCAGTGCGGATGTACAGCTCCTCTTTTCTGATCTTTATTGCAGATTTGAACTATAATCAAGAATCTAAATATTTAAGTATACATGTCGTGATTTATTTTATTACTTCAACCAACAAAGTTTTGAGTAATCTGTATTCTGAATATTACAAACTATGACATAAATTAGCGGTCCCGTCACACGATTTGCATGAAATTAACATTGTATACTCCGGCCTTCAATCCGTGGATATCAATAGAATGACGCACAAGTGGTTTTAACGTCGAAGCATTTAAACATTCGGCACACCTCGGCCAATTCTACGAATTGTATTCTCCCTTAAACATTTTTAATTGTGATGAAACCGTTTTGTTTTTAGAGCATTACCCGACCGATCATTGTGTGATAAAAATGTGAGTGCTATGCAACGTAAATAGTGAACTTTTGCAACCAAATAAAACATTGATATATTACAGAAGAAGATTATACTTTTGGTATAATAATATTTCCTGTATTGAGCATTCTGTCATGCTGTCTAATCCGCCATATTTTAATGATCCCGTACAATGTTGGAAGTGACAGAGTCCACTGTAGGCTACATGTATTATAATCTCTTTTTTCAGAAAAAGTATGTAACTGAATTATAATGTTATGAGACAGATATACAAATAGGGTATAAAGTCTAATTGAAGCAAACTTTGTCATTTCAGAACTAACACCTTTTGCCATTTTATTTTAATAACTTGCTTGCACATAGGTGATTTTAGAAGTGGGAGGAAACCAAAGAAGTCGTAGAAAATCCAAGAGGTTGGACTGGCAGTCCTACTCCTGGGAATCAAAATCATGCCACATGACTCGATGAAAGACCTTTATGATCTTATGCTCACACATTAGATCATTCAGCCACTTATAACCCATCTTATATAATGTTATGATAAATGAACAGGAATCATAAGTTAGAACTTTCTTGTAAACTTGTGACTACAATAAAACAGATGCATGTAAATTACTGTTAGAAAATCAAATCCTATTCTGAAACCACCAATATCTAGACAAAAAAAAATCAATTCTACAAAATACCCAGAAACAATTTCAAAAAAAAATATGGAGTACAAACTTACCTGTTGTGATTCTGGATTAAGAGCATATTGGATATTACACTCTCCTACAACACCAAGATGGCGGATAACTCTAATCGCTGTTGTACGAAGCATGTTATATTCCTCATTGGTCAATGTCTGACTAGGAGCTACAACAATAGATTCTCCTGTATGAATTCCTAAAGGATCCACATTCTCCATATTACAAACCTACAATTAAATTTCTAAATTAACTTCTCAAATTAGGTTATATTTTATTTTTCTTATTTGTAATTTTTTAATTTATATGAAGATAAAAATATTTATTTGTATTTCTACTTTTATCTTTGTTTTTAGATTTATTTTTCTTTTAAATGCTGATTGTCAAAATAAATATCTATTTTGTAAGATTTACTCATCAAAATCTAACTTTCCACTTAAATACAGGAATAATCAAGAACTAAACTTACAGTAATACAGTTGTCATAAGCATCTCTCACAACTTCATATTCTACTTCTTTCCATCCTTTCAATGATTTATCAATTAAAATTTGACTGGTATGAGCAAAAGCTGCTGTTGCTAAGATTACCAGTTCTTCTTTATTATCTGCAAAACCTGATCCAAGTCCACCCAGAGCAAAAGCAGCTCTTATCAAGACTGGATAACCTAATCTATCTGCTGCTTGTACTGCCTGAAATACATCATGAAACATCAGCTTTATTAATAATGTCAGATTCTTCTGTCCTTCTGATGTATGTACCATTTTATATCAAGCAATTCTGATCGTTCCAAAACAGTCAGAAAGGAACTCATTGCCCTATCCTAAAAAAAGTAGCAGTATGTTACACTAGGGATTTGGTATCGTTTAGAACGGGGTTTTTAGCGCTGGAAAGTATGCATAGAGTTTACTTTTAAAACATCGTTCGATAATTGATAAAAATCGTTTAAGAATTACATAAATGGTTTAGTTAGTACTATGGCTTAGTTTATTGGTAACGGGTTTAGTTTCTCCAAGAGTCGTTTAAAAATGGCCGACCCGTTCACTTATCTACGACGTTTACTTATTAGACGAGCTGTCTGCTTTCCCGTTATAATTTAAAAAATCAACACACCGTTTACTTATCTACGGCCTTTACTTATTAGACGAGTCGTTTACCTTCCCGAGATACGTTGAAAAATCAACACACGATTAATTTATCTACGGCATTGAAAAATTAGATGAACCTTTTAATTTCCCGCGAGCCGTTTATCCGATCGGTTAATTTTGATTACGATTATTTACATATGAAGTACGAATAAAAAAGGAGAATATAAAAAATGCACACTCATAGATGATCATCTTACCGTGGTCGTAGTATTATATATTATCCATTATCCTATAAACTTAGTATTCCAGAATGGACAAATAAATCAAAAATCGGTAAATCACATCCCAGGTAATGTATCGTTGTTGTTGTTAGTTAGTTGTATTTTATGTCCGCTTCCACCGAGGTGATATCACAAATAAATTAACTAGTCTTTCATATGTACACGTGGTCATAAGTCAAGGTCACAATAGCAGTGCCACAATCTCGCGAGACTGTACATTAGACTGGCGCCAAAAAAGTCACTGTCAATCTCTATAGACAAGCTGTCGCCCATTTTCAGACGGCGTAATCACTTGATTGGGGACCCCTGTGCAATTTAGTTGATTATTGGGTAATACGTCGAGTCCATGATGTATTTTGGCAAGTGATTAAGCTGTCAATATGTAATTATAAAATACCTTTTTTATAAAGAAGATAAATGATGTTAGACATCATAAACTAACAAACAATACGAGTATACTTTATTACAAAAACATCGGTGAACTAATCTAAAATCATAACGGCAAATATAAAAACAATACGAATATACTTTACTACAAAAACATTGGTGAACTAACCTAAAATCTAAAATCATAACGCCAATTAACAAACAATACGAATATACAGCGGTGAACTAATCCTGGTCGTGATCGGTAATCAACAAAAATCGACGAGTAAAACTTATATATTCCATACATTATTGTTTCTGTAACAATAAGTAAGTGTTTAACAGTTAATTTAACGATAAGTACAATCCCGGTTAATTATAATAACAAGGGGGATGAAAGAGCCCGATAAAAATTTTTTTAATGGTAAATATCTAATTATACAAAAACACATTGCTGAACAGGGTCGAAAAGCTCTCTTCTCAGTCTCAAAAGTTTGTAATGAAAATTATTTTAATATTGTAAGTAATGTAACTAAATACTTTTATGTCTTGTATTCTAAATTATGAGGTTTTCATTCGGGACATGATATATAACAAATACATTTAAGGTACCTTAGGAAAATCTTAGATACAAGAACAACCACAAATTCCCACATGATCTATTATGAACTTGGACGTTTCCTTTTAATCATTACGAGAAAATTACGGATATTTAAATACTGGATTAAAATACGTTCTTCTACTAATGTCTTACTTAATTCTTGCTACTCTAATGTGTTAATAAATAATGACCCGTGGGTCCTGAATGTTAAGAAGGAACGTTTTAAATTTGGCTTGGGAGATTTATGGGAAAAACCTGCTCATCTCATAAACACAAATTGTATCCATATCATCAGACAAAGATTATTAGACATATTTAGACAGGAGTGTATTGAGAAATTTGAATTATCAAGTAAATGTATCATTTATAAGCATATTGTGAATACATTTGGCTTACAATATTATTTGACTAAACCAATAGACAGAAAATACAGACGTGAAATTACAAGAATCCGTTTGTCCAGTCATAATTTAAATATTGAAAGGTTACGATATAGTACTAAATATATTGAGAGAAGTAAACGATTATGTACCATTGTACGATTGAGTACCATTTTGTTTTAATTTGTCCAATTTAAAAAAATCTGAGATAATAATATATAAAAAAGTATTATTATTCGAACCTCATTGTTTTTAAATCATTTAATCTTTTATGTACTAAAAATGTATCTGAACTTGTAAACCTTGGTAGATTTTTATATTTTTCTAATTGTGACCTTGACTTATGACCACGTGTACATATGAAAGACTAGTTAATTTATTTGTGATATCACCTCAGTGGAAGCGGACGTAAAATACAACTAACTAACAACGATCCAATTGTATAATTACCTGGGACGGGATTTACCGATTTTTGATTTATTTGTCAATGGTGGAATACTAAGTTTATAGGATAATGGATAATATATAATACTACGACCACGGTAAGATGATCATCTATGAGTGTGCATTTTTTATATTCTCCTTTTTTATTCGTACTTCATATGTAAATAATCGTAATCAAAATTAACCGATCGGATAAACGGCTCGCGGGAAATTAAAAGGTTCATCTAATTTTTCAATGCCATAGATAAATTAATCGTGTGTTGATTTTTCAACGTATCTCGGGAAGGTAAACGACTCGTCTAATAAGTAAAGGCCGTAGATAAGTAAACGGTGTGTTGATTTTCCAACGTATCTCGGGAAAGCAGACGGCTCGTCTAATAAGTAAACGTCGTAGATAAGTGAACGGGTCGGCCATTTTTAAACGACTCTCGGAGAAACTAAACCCGTTACCAATAAACTAAGCCATAGTACTAACTAAACCATTTATGTAATTCTTAAACGATTTTTATCAATTATCGAACGATGTTTTAAAAGTAAACTCTATGCATACTTTCCAGCGCTAAAAACCCCGTTCTAAACGATACCAAATCCCTAGTGTTATGACACCATTTCACAAATTTTGTGTGACGAGACAGAGAACTCTTGTAACATACTGTAGTCTTTGTTTTCAAACCTGAGCAAAATATGAGCAGGCTAGTCAAGTCCACACCAATTTCTTATACTCAGAGCTAAATTCATATAATTAAATTGTTAGGAAACCATTTCACCATTTCAAAAATTTTGTGTGACGAGACAGAGAAATGAAATGAGGTTTAACGTCCTACTGTTCTGCTCCTATACTGGGCTAATGAAGACGGGCATACGCCATACAGTGTGCTATGAGGGAAATTTTGCCTGGGCAGCAGCACTATCGCCTACTCTTATATCGAATTCCAACTGCCAAGGGATCTTTTACGTGCATTCTAATGTATACACGGGACCTCGGTTTTTCGTCTCATCCGAAGGACTAGACAGCTGTCCTTGTCAGGCCCTCCGTTCTGCACCACTGACAAGGGGAAACCACGTCGGAAAATCAGGATGAACTTTCTCAGCCAATGCAGGGATCGAACACCCGACCTCCAGGCTAGTGAGCCAGCGTCTTAACCACCTAGCCACCGTGGCTCCGACAAGACAGAGAACTCTTGTAACATACTCTAGTCTTTGTTTTCCAACCAGAGCAAAATATAAGCAGGCTTGTCAAGTCCACACCAATTTCTTATACCCAGAGCTAAATTCGAATTATTAAATAATGTTACTCATTGCATTTACCAGTTCAACAGTTTCTGCTGCTTCACTAGGAGCCACTTTTTCATTGATTTCTGCCATTTTGTTGGCAAATATCTTCCTATCTTCCGTCCATTCTATTGATGAAACTTGTGTTCCTAAAACTTTGACTCCATATTGTTCTAGAATCCCTAATTTGGTCAACTGTATCCCACAATTCAATGCTGTTTGCCCTCCAAAAGTCAAAAGAATACCCTCTGGTCTCTCCGATTTTATCACCTGTATGAAAGGGGTTTAAATAATAAGTTGATAAGTAAAGATATAAATGATCAGCGGCCAGCACTGATCTGCAGAAAGTGTTTTTAATCTTAAAACGTCCATAAAATTGGCAAATTTGTCTAAAATATTGCACACAATCTAATCTAACATGGAATGGAAACTGTATGCGCAAATCATGTCAAATTGAGATAATCATAATTCATGGATTGTTGACAACCCCAAAATGAGATTAACTCTAGAAGGCACAATAAAGCATGAGATTATTATGTACATGCAATGAATATGATGACATTTCAAATAGTATTCTCTCTAACATCGTTATGCAAGAGCTAAATCTACCTATAGTCTTTGTTTAGGCCTGAAATGTTATATAAACTATCAATTAGACATTTATTCACATGAAAAGACCATAATCTACTCTCAATGTCACCTTATGTGTCCTATTTTCATTGGATTTGAATCTGATCTGCTGTTCAATGCGCATTGGTGATTAAACGCAAAAATGGATAATCAAGACCTTGTTTTTTTTATTGTAAATTCAATCGCTATTATCTTGGAGCAATTTGACTGCAATTTTCAGCATATTCCTTTTACATTACTTAGTTTTTAACTATTATAATGAGAAATGCCAGCTCGTTATCAAATCTCCCATAATTCCCCTTTAATTATATATATAAAGTTGCAACACACCTGTACAACATAATCAGTTGTTATAGGTAAGAAGTAGACTTTATCAGCCAGACCTTTTGATGTTTGTACTGTAGCAACATTTGGATTTATCAAAACTATTTGTATGGACTCTTCCTTTAATGCCTTTATTGCCTGAAAAAATATGAAATCCCTATTATAGCTAGGAGAATAAAAAGGCCTTTTTTTATCAATCTGGTAAAAGGATAAATTGAAGGTCATGTGAATGTCTGGACATCTTTTAAATCGCCTTCAATAAAATTATAATAAATGACAAATGATTTTTTATGCACACATACTTATGTCTTTTGTATGGGCTAATAATAAAATCTCTATTGCCTTTCTTTTAGGCCTAATAATTCAATAAATTTTCACTTCTTTTATTTTCTTAGATTGTGCTTAAAACAGAATCACATGCATTTACAAATCTCCAAATGTATTATTTCTTTTTGGAAGCCAATTTCACTGATATTTTGTAAATTTGGCTGGCCCAATAATTCAATTCAGTGGGGTTTTCTTCGGATCACATAAAAGTCTAGAAATTTCTCATTTTTCTTTGAAAGCAACATATATAATTGTACACATTACTATATTTAACAAAGAGATAGGTAATTAAATTGTTTCTACAAGAATGTAATATCTTACTTGTGAACCTGAATAATCAAATTCTCCTGCTTGACCTATAGATAAACCACCAGAACCTAATATTAATACTTTCTTCGGTCTAATAGGAGTCTGTTTTACCATTGATGTTTTAGGGTTTTCTAGTGTTTTATATAATCTCTGTTTTACAGTTAGGCTGAAAATATACAAATATGTGCTCAAACTTATACAAAATACCTAATTAAACATTATCTAACAAATGAAAGCAAAAGAAATGGGGTTTAATGGTTTATTGATAAAATGGTTTGAATAATAATATTGTGTTCATTTGATCAACAGGTTGTACATGACAAGGAGTATGGGCGCCTGTCCAACCCGGTGGGTTTTCTCCGGGTCCTCCGGTTTCATCCCACTGCTAAAGAACTCTACGCGCAACCTAATTATTGAAATAAAATCTCTCTCTCTCTCTCTCTCTCTCTCTCTCATTTGATCATTTGATCAACTGACATGTGTTCTGTCATGATAATACACAAATTTGTTTTGTATGGTTTATGTATGCAATGTAAGGATCTGAATGTTGTTCGGTTAACCGGTCACAGTTAGGTTCACTGTTGAACCGTTTCAAAAATTGCTAACCTGTATTCGTTTCCATACCATATCTGACCGTCAAACTCGGGAATGGTAGCCACAACATTGATTGCTTTCACTAAGACTCATTGTCATTTGTAATAAGTCTCTGGAAGTTTTGTAAAGGTTATTAGGACTCTCTGCCAAGCAATAAATAGCCTCAACTGATTGACCAATTAATTATTTTACAGTATTTATTAACCTTATCACTCCATAATCAAAGTCTCAAAAGGAAACAAGTTTGATGGGATCAAAGTTGACGACATTTAGGTCACTGGCTTGTGGTAGAAGTACCTATAGTTAAATCTTTGGAATTAGCTAAATAATCTGACTTATTTTGTATTTAAAAATCCAAAGGTATGCTTTCATATATTTGTGTCATAATTAATCTTATAAAGTATTTGGGGAACTTTTTTTTAAATCAACCTGATTTCAACCAGTCTATAGGTGATCTGTCAAAGTACCGTGCAAGATGTAGAAATGAAACACCAAGAATGAATGAATGAATGGAATTTGTATTGACTGTTAACTTAGAGAGTGATGAGACTAAACAATTCCATAGTTAAAACATTCTAATAATGGAGGAATTCGCAGATGACCATATAAACCAATATGCAGAAAGTTCATACCATACTCATATTTAGTCGTTAAATATCCTTTGTAATTATCCTATTATGTGTCACACGCCCTAAAAAGATTAGAATTCGAGTGCTGTGACCGGTACCGTAATTTCATTTTAATCAGACAAGTCTGGTTAATCAAGACTACAGAAATAAATTTCTTTCAGTTAATTTCCAGTCTCAATTATTTTTATGCATATTTAGAGCTAGCAACAAATTAACTTCTAAACTCCCTAAGGCGGCAACGAAGGCTGTTAAATAAAAGTATATTTCACAGTCTGGCAGTTTCGCTATATTTCCGCGAGAATGAGTTTTAAAAAAGATAGAAAATGAATGAAACTACATGAGCTGACTGAACCGAGAACCATTGGTTACAATCAACAAAATTAGAAATAAAATCGCTGAGTTTTATTCAAAATTTTAATCAAGTTAGTTACTTCCTATTTTAAAAGTCAAACATGTAAAGAAGAAAATTTTTTTCATGGCTTCATTGATGAATAAGTGAATATATTGTCACATGAATGTCTATTTTGGGCCAATGTTTGCTGTCTGCAGAGCACATGCGACCCCAGGACTCAATAGTTTTCATTCAAGGTTTCTGTTCAGTGGTGGATTATGCTGACAAGAGAAGGTTAGATTTTTATCAGCAACATAATTGAGGCTGTGAAGCACTCTACCCACTGATTGAAGGCCGGATTATCCAATGTTAATTGAACACAAATCGTGTGACAGGACCGCTGATTGATCTCGTAATATTCAGATTACAGACTTATCAAAACTTTTTTGGTTGAAGTAATAAAGAAATAAGTAGGATTTTATTTGTCATTTATATGGCTATTGTGTTAAAAGAGTTCAATGCATTAAATCTATTTCCTCAATTTTTTAAAATCACAATGATACTAAAGACTGTGCTCTTTTCATTTTTTCACTGAAAACGTAAGTAAACTTAAACAATATATACCTTTGTTCACCTGCTTTATGGGCTGCTACTTGAGCTAGAAACACATCAAACAACAGTTCCAGATCTTGTGGACCTGCCATGTTTTCAGGATGAAATTGAACACTGAAATAAAGGATCAACATAGACTGCCAGGCAAGAAAACCATAATTAATGCAGCAGTTAAGTCATAATAAAAGCTTCTGTACAATACTTTGTAACTTTAATTGTTATTACTGAAAAAAAATATGTATTACTGTAGACAATTCTGCCAACAAGAAATGTGAATGACAGAACAATTGATGGAAAGGAGTGATGCAACATATGAGCAGGTCAAAATGTGGGTGTATAAAAAGTCATAACGAATCTACCTTCAAATTCACATTCATGTTATACCTTTACTAAATTGAAATTTACTCTTAAGCTGCAAAGCAGATAACATCAGCTACATGTATCTCTTTTAAATAAATCTTTAAAAAGCAAAATTATAGAAATAAGTTTTAAAACACTAATAAATTTTGTGAATGTATCAAAAATCTATGTTGTTTGTTATACAAGATCTACCTGAAAAAGGGTTTTGTTTCATGAATGATCCCTTCATTAGTTTTATCATTAGCATTTGTAAACAATGGTCCCCATCCTTTTGGTAATGTATTAGCATCAACAGCAAAACCATGATTCTGTGTAGTTATATAACATCGTATTGTATCTTGATATATACAAGGCTGATTGTGACCTCTGTTACCATATCTGCAAAGAACCATCATATTATTGAATAAATAAAACCACACTGGTTTTGGATTGGTACTCATATTGGTGGCGATGCCCTTTGTAAAATGCCTAAGAAAACTTGGCATGTTTGTTCCTTGGACAATTACATGTTGATTGACGAACTTCGATTTTTGATACGTCACAATTCGAAGATGGCTGTGATGGCGTCATACCCTATTCTTGAGCCATAGCATGATAGTACTTGTTTTGAAATAATAGAAAATACATACAACTACAAGAGATGAGACAACTGGGAAGGTAATCATAATAACTAAAGTTCAGACAACAATATTATACTTCAGCTTGTTTTATTTAGGTGCAAAACCAGTCGCCACATCCGATGTATAACCCATGCATCGTTTCTTAGTACATATTCTGGAACAGCCCTTGTTTGTCTAGTATTGCCTCTAGTTGTATTTGTAATTCTTTAACTGGTTTGGGCGTATCTTTAAATATCATTCTGACATTCCCCATTAACAACGACTTCACATTGTGATTGAATATACTGCGTCTTAAATAGAATGATTAAAGGCTCAATACCACTGTTGTTGTAACTGAATAATATGTCCCAATCTTTATTCTGGTCAACAAATTGCACTATTTTACAATATTCCAATTAATTGATGATACAAATTTCATCTTAACACACCTAATTTAAACAAGAGCATCGCTACCGCTGCAATATACGTCCACATTCCTGCTTTGATTGATATGGTACTTTTTAAAACTAGAAATGGGCGTGGCTCTGCCCCTGGGGGTCGGGCATGCACCAAAAACAATAGGGATCTTCCTTGGGGTATAAGGAATAAGTATACCAAGTTTGAAGAAAATCCAGTAAGAATTGCGCCCTGTAGGCGACACAAAGACACACGAAAAGAAAATGGGAAATGGGCGTGGCTCTGCCCCTGGGGGTTGGGCATGTACCCCAAACGATAGGGATGTTCCTTAGGGTACAAAGAATGTGTATGCAAGATTATAAGTTAAGAAATGTGGCCTGTAGACGACAAACAAACAAATACTAGAAATGGGCGTGGCTCTGCCCCTGGGGGTCGGGCATGCACCAAAAACAATAGGGATCTTCCTTGGGGTATAAGGAATAAGTATACCAAGTTTGAAGAAAATCCAGTAAGAATTGCGCCCTGTAGGCGACACAAAGACACACGAAAAGAAAATGGGCGTGGCTCTGCCCCTGGGGGTTGGGCATGCACCCCAAACGATAGGGATGTTCCTTAGGGTACAAAGAATGTGTATGCAAAGTTTCAAGATTATTAGTTAAGAAATGTGGCCTGTAGACGACAAACAAACAAATACTAGAAATGGGCGTGGCTCTGCCCCGGGGGGTCGGGCATGCACCAAAAACAATAGGGATCTTCCTTGGGGTATAAGGAATAAGTATACCAAGTTTGAAGAAAATCCATGAAGAATTGCGCCCTGTAGGCGAACCACAGACACACACACACACACACATACATACATACACACACACACACACACAGACAGGGGCGACGGCATAATACGTTCACATTATGAATGTGGACGTATAAAAATTGGAAAAATTCAACTAAATGATTTAAAAAGCCTGACGTAAAGCTTTTCAAATGTGACTTGGATTTAAAAATATTTTTGAACCCTCTGGACAAGTAAAATAGGATTTAATGCATAATTTACACAACAGGTAGGACACTAACACATCTAGTACTTAAAATAAGGCTATTTTTTATTTTCTGGAGCTGTCAAGCCAGCAAGAGTGTTATTGTCCCTTTAACAGGAACAACAAATACCAGAGTTTCTCGATTACAGTTTTATATTAAACTCTGATACATAGGATACTAACATAGATATAATAAAGTCTTTCTCACTATCACTCAACCCAGATTTTGCCACTTGGACTTCAACGGTAACTTTCCGATCATGTACTTTTGGACATAGAATCTATCCTTGAACTTAGATCTCTTTTCCTGTTATTCACACAATAGCTTGCATTTTAAATAAACTTATACCATAGCTAATATACTGACAATGCAGAATACAAATAAAACATACGTATTTATCAAATTATAACTCATGTCCTCTGCAGGGAATATGATAAGCAGTATCGCATCACAGTTTGCTAAACAAAAATGATGCAAGTCACGTGGGAATCAGATATTAATTTGATTAGCAGAAATTTATCAAATTTAAGGGAATCTACGAATCAAGTTTCTTGTCCCAAATTAAGCGTGAAAAATGTTTAACATGATTTACCGTTACACTGCGTATGGACATTCGGGAGATGAGATTAAAAGTTGTCAAGGATTAGTCAATAAACTAATTGTAAGCTAAACTTTTAACAGTCATTCAGTTCACGATCTAATTAAGTAATTAGTACAAACGTTAAATTTGATAATTCCGTAAATATACAAGTTCGATAATTATTCACAAAACAATAATTTTTATGTGTAACCATTTCCCTTAGTAAGAATTGATCACATGTTCCCATCTGTCATCCCATTTGCTATCACACAATATTTTAATCTTTTTCCATTCACTGAACAACAAAAATATTCTGTAGTCTATAATCATACGAAAAATGTAGCCATCCGAAGCGCACACTGCAGTTTAATTTTCATTTAACAAACTACTTTGCGACTAAAATGGCACTACTTGGTTCATTTTGGCGGGAAAAAATGCATGCATTGCATATGGATGTCGATGCTACGATGTAATTTTAAAATATAGTTTTATAATGAAGACAAACAATGTTTCGACATTACAAACTTTTCTTAGCACGTAATTTTGAAGGAATATTTTACTGGCATAAATTTGAAGCAGGTACGCTTTCATTCTATCGTATTATGAAAACACCTAATTTTGTAGGAATATTAGACTTAAATTTGAATACTGTATGGGAATTTAATATGAACCAGCAGCTGCCAGGTAGGATACGCCCACATTTTGCAAGAGATGGACAGAGAACAGCTAAAAGTAAAAATGATTTTTTGAACAATCAGGGGCCATAATCCAGAAAGTTATGGTCTGAAATGCGAAAATATCAAAAGGGATTGAGATTTTTGGGATATAAAGATATGTTTTAAGTTTTATCAAAATCGGATAAAAATTGTGACCTTTAGAGGGTCCATAACCTTTGTATTACATACTTATACACAATTTGCATACAAAGAACGGCCATTTTGTCGGGCAGTTTCTTTCTGATTTTCCCGAAATTCGAATTCAACCTTCATTATGATGGAATGGTGATATATCTAAACGTTTTTTAAAATCAGAAAAAAAATTGCCACCTCTAGAGAATCCACAAGCTAAAAATATGATTTTTCGACCACTCAGGGGCCATAATCCAGGAAGTTACGTTTGGATATGTGTGATTATTAAAAGGAACCAAGATCTTTATGATAAAAACATATATTTGAAGTTTCATCCAAATTGGATAAAAACTGTGGCCTCTAGAAGGCCCACAACCTAGATATACCATATTTTTACACTGTTTGCGTACAAAAGTCAGCTATTATGTCCGTCAGTTTTTTCTGATTTTCACGGAATTCCATCTCAACCATCATTAGTGTATAAGTGGGATTTATTCACACGTTTTTTTTTTTTTAAATCGGATAAAAATTGTGACCTCTATAGAGACCACAAGCTCAAAACACGATTTTTCATACAATCAAGGGCCATAATTCAGGCAGTTACGATCCGGTATGCGCGAATACCAAAAGGAACCAAGATCTTTGGGTTATAAACATGCATTTCGAGTTTCATCAAAATCGGATCAAAATTGTGACCTCTAGAGTGCCCACAAGCTAAAAACATGATTTTTCATACAATCAGGGGCCATAATCCATGAAGTTATGGTCCGATACATGCCAATATCGAAAGGAACCGAGATCTTTGGGAGATAGACCTATATTTCAAGTTTCGTCAAGATCGGATAAATATTGTGACCTGTAGTGTGTCCACAAACAAATTGTGGATGGCATCCAGACAGATGGACAGACAGACAGGGGCGACGACAATATACGTCCACATGAAAATGTGGGCGTATAAAAATAGAGAGGAGCACCTATTTTTTTAATTTTTTTTCCTCAGAACACGATATGCTACATAACATAAAACTTTTTGTGATTGAAATCTATTTAAAGGAAATGAAAGTCCCCCCTATACACACATAAACATTAGTAGTATACTGGTAGAAATTATGGCCTTTAGAGATCGTTCAATACGATAATGTGAAAATCTACTTATTTGCTATTCAATCAAGAGGAACTGCTAATCAATTTTCAGATTGATTAGCATTTTTTTTTTTTTGTTAAACATCCACTAATTGCTAATTAATTTTTTTTCTCATCATATACCCTGGTACTTTGGTGCACTTATATTCGTCTAATACAATTTCACATAAATGATCAAATGGTATTACAACAATCACTTACTGCAAGGACTATGCAGCTGCCATTTCTCAAAAGAGAGTAAAGTTTCTCTGAAAAAAAAACATATTTTCTGACACATTTTTATAATCCATTGTGAATGTTAAATGTGTTTTTTGTAATTGTTGAGCTCTATTAAACAACAATGTCAGAGATTAAACTTACTTCATTTTAAATGTTGTAGCACCAATGGCTAGTGACAGTAATTGATGACCGAGACATATACCAAATATAGGTTTATATTTGTCTTCTGAAACTATACGTCTAATATTTTCAATTGTGGCATCACACATCTTGGGATCACCAGGTCCATTACTTAGAAACAATCCATCATATTCTACAAAATAATCAAATACATATAATCAAAGTTTGGATATGTAGATCTACAATTGTAGAATACAAATAAGAAAATAATCTTTAAAATAATAAAACTGGTTTAAAGATCTATGGACAAAATAATATTCAGTCTTACTTAATCTGATTACAGTGGACTCTGTCAATTCCGACATAGTACGGGATCGATACAATATGCCGGATTACACAGCATGTCGGAATACTCAAATGTCTCAACACCGGAAGTATTATTCTACCTTCAAATACTGCTTTTCTGATCACAAATGTCTTCAGTTTCTCACCGGTCGCGCTACAACAAAATAAGATTGTTAATCGTTCTTTTGAAATTTTACCTTTAGCGCTAATCTTTTTATCACACAATGTGCAGTCGGGTAATGCCCTAAAAAACAAACTGTTTTCATCGTAATTAAATGTTTTCCAGAGAATACCCTTCAACAATAGATGGAATGCGCACACAGAATTCTTCAAGGTAATCAACAAAGACCAACATGTGTTTTATGCTCACAGATAATTGATTGGTTATTGCTTGTCAGTTAACACCCACTGATTGAAGGCTGGATTATCCAATGTTAATTCAACACAAATCATGTGACAGAACTGCTGATTGATGTCATAATTCGGAATATTTAGAATCCGGACTACTCAAAACTTTTTTGGTTGAAGTAATAAGGAAATAAATCGGGACAATAAAATGATGACGGATTTCACAGAATGCTGTAGTCGGCGGAACGATTTACCCAATACTACTCAATACCACCCAATACCACTCCAATATCACCACATACTACCAAATACTACAACATAATGGTGCCAAATGAGCATATTTGATTTTTTTTTCAAAAATAGTGAGATATATCGTGGAAAATGTACTTCAAATGTGATTACCGATGTCTGGCTGTTCCATTTGCCTCCCTATATCACCCAAATCAAGCAAATAATAACCCAATACTACCAAATACTTATCAAATACTACTTAATACTACCCAATATTGTAAAATACAAACCTAATATCATCAATTAGCAGCACATCAGTATAATAATTGCAACGAATATTCGATAATTTACAGAAGATTGAAATATTTACGCAGTTATCTCCCTTTACAACCGACAAATAGATTTTAGATTGCTACTCAGATTAATCATCTTGTTGGGCTTTGCAGTTTTCTTCCAAGACAAAAAAGAGTTTTAAAAGAAGTTAACAAAGATTTAAAAATGCATTAAAATAAAATCAGTTTATAAAATAAACAGCCAAGCATCCAAATAAAAGAGTATTTTAGAGGTTGATTTAAAAATGTTGATTTAACGGTCTTGTGGCCTACTCAAAAGTCTTCTTATACTATATCTATTTCTTCATCCTGGTGATTTTAGTATAACATGCTGTTTAAAAGTACACGCGGTCCTGTCAAAATCATTTGGGTATATGTCAGGATAGCACACAAATTTATCTTTATATCTGTCTTTTAATGACTTATTAACGCGTCTTCTTTGTCTTTTAAATGATTCCGGTTCCAAACCAGTCGCCTTTGAAAAAAAAAAGCCTCGTCAAAATTCCACCGATTCTTTGAATATCGACACTATTGAACAAATTCTAAGTATTCTACAGTATATACCCACAGGTGACTATGTCGTGGCGATGTCATTACCACCTAAATGAATAGACATGGTCACCAGTTTTCTCCCACATATGCATATGTTTAGGTTATTGCATTTATACTTAATGGACAATGTTTTAGTTTAAAATTAACGAAATTGCATATGTTTATTACTATGCACATGTTTATTACAAATGTGTTATGCTCTACTCGTTTATACATTCCACCTGAGTTAACAATTAATCAACGAGGTTAAGATTGTTGATTGGGTAATCAAGTTCTGGTTTATTTATATTATCAAAGAAACTGACAGAGCTGTAACAGGCCGCAAATGATAGTTTTGAAGAACTAAGAAGTGTCGCGTCGAGAATTACACACTGGAAAGAAACTTGCAATTTTGTTAATTTTAAAATGAAACATTGTGCAGTAAGTAAATACGCAATAACTTAATAGATGACATGAAATGAATTATACATTATGCAATTGTTTTGTTAAAGCATAAATTTTAAAATAAATACAATCGACACTAACTAGGTAATTTTGGGACAAACATATAGTTCAATATTATTTCATTAACTCGCTTGCGCGAAGGGGTGTTTAACAGTGAGATGAAACCCACCTTGTTTGACAGACGACCTTATCAAGTGGTAAGAGACAGATGGGTCATTTTGGGAATAAAATATGGTATATCGTCATACTTGTTTTTCTTATTTTAAGTTTGTCGTCTTGGAAACCAACTGCAAAGCCAAAGAAGATGATTAAACAGAGTAGCAATCTAAAATCAATTTACCGGTTGTAAAGGGAGATAACTGTGCAAACATTTCAATTTTCTGCAAAATATCGAATATTCATTGCAGTAATTATACTAATGTGCTGTTATTTGACAATATTAGGTTGTTATTTGATCATATTGGGTAGTGTTTGGTAGTATTGGGTTATTATTGGCTTTTATGGGGTGGTATAGGGAGGCAAATGGTTATCGCATTTGAAGTACATTTCCCACGATATAGCTCTCTATTTTTGAATAAAATCAAATGATATGTCTATTTTGCATCATTATGTTGTAGTATTGGGTAGTATGTGGTGATATTGAGGTGGTATTGGGTGGTATTGGGTAGTATTGACTAAATCATCCCACCCTGCTGTAGTATTCAGATGTCAGAAGGGACATGAGTCCACTTGACTGTATACTTAAATATTTAGATTCTTGATTATAGTTAGTGAAATGTTCAAATCATAAATAAAGATCAAACAAGAGGAGCTGTACATCCACACTGAATTAACCCAAGGCTTTACAAATTTTCTGCAGAGTACTGTCCCCCCCTTTTGAGAAGGGCAACCAAGTAGTTTTGATTTTTAAATTATCTTTTTTTACTTCAAGAAATAAGTCATAAATTTTAATAGGTGTTCCCGAAGAACAAAAGTTCAAATTGATGTGGCCCTACTACTGAATCTTTCCCTTTAAGAAAATTTTTCTTGTCGGACAATTTTACCGAAAATAAAGGGAAATATATATATAACTCTTACTGTTATTTAAGCAAATGGTTTCAGACCACAATTAAAATTCACATGTCAACAAAATATTCAAATTTGTATGTAACAAAAACCAGCGGCTGCCAGGCAGAATACGCCCACATTTTCGAGAGATGGATAGAGAACAAGCTAAAAAGAAAGTGATTTTTCCTACAATCATGGGCCATAATTCAGGAAATTACAATTCGATATGCGCAAATATCGAAAGGAACCAAAATCTTTGAGTTATAAACTTACATTTCAAGTTTCAACAAAATTGGATAAAAATTGTGACCTCTATAGGGTCCACAACCTTGATATACCATATTTTTAAGCTATTTGAGAACAAGGGGCGGCCATTTTGTCTGTTAGTTTTGGGCCGATTTTCACGAAATTCGAACTTAGCCGTCCTTATGGTGTAACGGGGATATAATAATACGTTTTTTTTAAATCGGATAAAAATTATGACCTCTATAGGGTCCACAATCTAAAAACGCTATTTTTCGTACAACCAGGAGCCATAATTCAGGAAGTTACGGTCCGATATGCGCGAATATCGAAAGGAACCAAGATCTTTGGGTTATAAACTTATATTTCATGTTTCAACAAAATCAGATAAAAATTGTGACCTCTATAGGGTCTACAACCTTGATATACCATGTTTTTACGCTATTTGAGAACGACGGGCGGCCATTTTGTCTGCCAATTTTGGGCCGAATTTCAGGAAATTCGAACTCAGCCGTCCTTAGGGTGTAACGGTGATATAATTATACGTTTTTTTAAATCGGATAAAAATTATGACCTCTATAGGGTCCACAAGATAAAAACGCGTTTTTTCGTACAATCAGGGGGCATAATTCAGGAAGTTATGGTCCGATATGCGCGAATGTCGAGAGGAACTGAGATCTTTGTGTTAAAAACTTACATTTCAAGTTTCAACAAAATCGGATAAAAATTGTGACCTCTATAGGGTCCACAACCTTGATATACCATGTTTTTAAGCTATTTGAGAACAAGGGGCGGCCATTTTGTCTGTTAGTTTTGGGCCGATTTTCACGAAACGGTCCGATATGCGCGAATATCGAAAGGAACCAAGATCTTTGGGTTATAAACTTATATTTCAAGTTTCAACAAAATCAGATAAAAATTGTGACCTCTATAGGGTCTACAACCTGGATATACCATGTTTTTACGCTATTTGAGAACGAAGGGCGGCCATTTTGTCTGTCAATTTTGGGCCGAATTTCACGAAATTCGAACTCAACCGTCCTTAGGGTGTAACGGTGATATAATTATACGTTTTTTTAAATCGGATAAAAATTATGACCTCTATAGGGTCCACAATCTAAAAACGCTATTTTTCGTACAACCAGGAGCCATAATTCAGGAAGTTACGGTCCGATATGCGCGAATATCGAAAGGAACCAAGATCTTTGGGTTATAAACTTATATTTCATGTTTCAACAAAATCGGATAAAAATTGTGACCTCTATAGGGTCTACAACCTTGATATACCATGTTTTTACGCTATTTGAGAACGAAGGGCGGCCATTTTGTCTGCCAATTTTGGGCCGAATTTCAGGAAATTCGAACTCAGCCGTCCTTAGGGTGTAACGGTGATATAATTATACGTTTTTTTAAATCGGATAAAAATTATGACCTCTATAGGGTCCACAAGCGTTTTTTCGTACAATCAGGGGGCATAATTCAGGAAGTTATGGTCCGATATGCGCGAATGTCGAGAGGAACTGAGATCTTTGTGTTAAAAACTTACATTTCAAGTTTCAACAAAATCGGATAAAAATTGTGACCTCTATAGGGTCCACAACCTTGATATACCATGTTTTTAAGCTATTTGAGAACAAGGGGCGGCCATTTT